TTGACGCTGGTTCAGTTGAAGCAGCAGACAAATGACATTAGGTTCAAGGCCTCAACTTTGCACTAATGAATTGTCTTTCAAGGATATTTTAAGGGTTGGTTAAACAAGTCTGCTTAGCTTGTAGTTTTGAGTTCCTACCTTGGGTTATGTAGTGCAAAAGTTCCTATACACTCTGGGTCAGCAGAAAAATTAACAAGGTCTCTTCTATGGACAGATTAGACAATCTATTCTCATGGATTGAACATAATTTGGTTTGAAATAGCAACATGTCTTATGAATGCTAAACATGGTTAATGGAACAATCTATCCTGTAAATTAAATAAAGGGTTCAGTTCAAAGTTGCCTGAAGGTTACACAAATCAGGAAGCACCTGATGAAGGCTGAAAGGCACAATGGTCGAAACTTTGTGGTAATAACAAAGATATAGACAGATAAATTATTAAGCTATAATTTGAGTGACTTTTTATGAGATTGTCATTGCAAGAATAGAACACTTCAAGCAGAACCACTGTAGTTATTTTCTCTTAATGTAATTTTCTTTCAAGATGTAGACGATCGTGACTCTCCACTACTTTTTTTTTCCTTTTAGTATTGCTAAACTGTCTTGCTATGACTGATTCTTTCTTGAGAAAGAAATGGTTTCCCCATTATGTTCTCATCTGGATTTTAATTCAAAGTTGTTGTTCTCTGGTTGTTAGCCAATGCAGTAGTAAGGGCAGTAGCGTGATATGAACATCAGATTCCTCGGAGAAAATTTGCACTTGGCTTGGTGATTTAATTTTCTGCACTGTTAACAATTAGTCCACCTTCTAAAAATATTATACTATATATGAGGGGGCATGGAAAGTTCTTGTGTACTTCACAAAATCTGACCAAACAGCATTTTTTTTTTTTTTTTTCTTAGATGAAGCCCCTCTTGATAAGTTAATTCAGAGTTTTGACATTTCTATAAAAGTAGTTGCCAATGTAACCCATTGATATCTTTGCCAGGATTCAATCAGAAATGCTTTCTAAAACTTTCATTCTTTGCAATGCTTGATCCTGACTAACATAATCAGTTTCAATTTTTAGTAATGCCTTTAACCTTCACCATTTTCTAAACTCCACAACATATATCTAACAAGTGGGAGATGCTATTTTAGCACTTAAAATAAGAAGACAGATTGTGTTTGTCATGAATTAAAACAAGTGTTATTAGAATAGTAACTATTTAAATAGAATTATCAATAAAAATTCACAATAACTAAAAGTTTCATGATGTTAACATTCCTCAGGGACTGATATGAATATCGTACGCTTGGCAAACCTGGATAAAAATACCCACAAAGGACTGTACTTACCCATTACACCACTCTTTTTTTTTTTTTTTTTTTTTTAACCATCTTCACTCTTCAGCAATTTTTTTCTTGTTTTCTCTTTATACTTTTTTTTATTCTTGAATTTACAACAAAAATATTAAACACTATTTGTTTATTTACAAGAATAATTTTATACTTATGATATTCTAAAAACTAATACAATTAGAACTAACACATTGTAATATTTATCATTTACCAGTTTATAAAGAAATAAAGACGAAAGCAATTTTTATTTCATAAATTTATAAATATTTACTAAATAATTAAAATATGTGAACCAATTATAAGGAAATCCTTATTACAGTATTTACATTAGTCAGACTATTGTCCTCATCTTTGTCGCCATATTTGTCACAAAAATCTCCTGAGCCGACCAAGCATAGAAATAAATACAATATGGGAACCAGTAATAATAAGGAGTGCCAGAGAAAAGCAATGATAACAAAGTTGCAATATGAACTCTGGTAAAGACATGCAATGATAACAGCAAAATTGCAATATAAGCACTGGTAAAGATGATGCTAAAAAACATTAGGTTTATAATACTCAGAAGTTCATGCCCAGATGTCCTCAAGAACACATGGCACAGTGGATAAAGGCATTGGTTAGATCCAGTGACAGACCCAAAGAAGGTGAGTTCAATACCTGGTTATGGCAGTGGAGAATTTTCAGAGATAACTGATCAAACATGGCACGTGGAACTAGAACAGTCTACCCCAGTGATCGAAATAAAGGGATCAGTTCGAAATTCCAACCACCTGAAGAAGGCGGAGCGCATAAACGGCCAAAACGTTGTGACAAATATGGCGACAAAGATGAGGACAATAGTCCGACTAATGTAAATACTGTACATAATACCTCATCTCAGAAATATAGACACTCTGAAATCCTTATTTACCATTTTATAAAGTTTGAAACATTTGGCAATTAGCCAATGTTTTGCTAACCATTCCAATAAACAATATAATAAATAGTGTTTATTATTTTTGTTGCCAATTCTCAAGAACAAAGACGATGTATAAATTCACTTTCATATGTTTAGGTTTTATTCCAATCATCACTTTCTAAAACATTGCTGAAGAGTAAAGGTAATTAAAATGGTGGTATCATAGAAAAAAGATATCCTTTTGACACTGTCTTATTGCAGTCGTGTTTAGCCGTGTTTTGGCATATGAGTTTTATTAATAACATTCATTGCTCTAGATGTCTATTTAGCACTTTTGTCAATTTTGCTGACCTTTGATTTACATTAAATTAGATAAGTTTAGGTGCAGTGATCGTGGTGTGTTTTTGTTTTTTGTTTTTTTTAATCCAGGCAGTTGCACAACGGGCCACCACCTCCACCTAGCAGAGGGCAAACAAATGTATGCATATGAATAACATCTGAGAAAACACAACCAATGAAACACTTGTCTTTAAGAGGCTTCTTCATAAAGAGGATAGGTTACTAATATAACTATCAAGATGCACATGATTTTTTTTTTTTTTTCTCTGAGAGTCTGCACTGGCAGTGCTTTGTTTCAGCTAAGTGACTATCTTGATTAGGAGTCTTACCATCTGTATGCTGAGAATAAAGAGTTAAAATAAATTCAGCCAATCAGAACCAAGCTCTTTAGAAAGTAATATCATGTCATAGGCAGAGATAATGAAAAGCCATAAATCAATTTGGAAATTTTTTTTACTTTTGATATATTTTGACAATGAACCAGCAATATCAAAAAAGGAATTTTATTTCACATGTACACTTTATATGCTTTCACATAGGAGATAAAAATGGACTCAAATATAGCTAAAGTTTAATTTTTTATTAATTAATTTATACATCAAAAAAGTGATCTACATTATTTTGTGAAATGTCAAAACTAATTCTTGTATTTTTTTTTTTTTTTTTTTTTTTTATGCTTAGTACTTCTTTAAACATATTCCATTTACCATTGAATACTTACAATTGCTATGTCACCAGAAGAATGAGAAATTGTAATTTAGAAAAGTTACTTACACAAAAATGTTAGTTAAGCAATTCAGCTTTGTCTCCCTTCATGTTGCTCATCATCAAAAAAAAATCTTAAATCATTAAAAAAAACTTTAAAAAAAACTATTTTTAACATTGTCGTAAGTGTGTTAATAATAGTGTTTCTTCGAGCACATAAGTTGAAGAGTATTGAATATTAATAACAATAGTAGTTCCTGTATGATCACTGAAGTTAAGCAATGTTGAGCTTGGTCAGTACCTAGATGGCTAACCATTCAGGAATACCTGCTGCTGTAAGTTTAGATGTACAGTTGGTGTAATGGATCAGTCCTTGACATTGTTAATCAGAGCACGAAGCTCCAATTCCCATTGGGTTTGTTATATTCCCTTGCATGCAAATACCCTTGGGAAAGGTATAAATCTGCCCAGCTATGGATTAATTAGTAAGACTTTTATCACTAATCCATTATTATCTTCAAAGAAAATTCTGGCAATCTGGAGATATTGTCTGGCTTTAGATGGCCTACAAATGGTTAATAAGCTTTAGGAAATGAACCAACCAATAAAAAAAAAAAAAGAAAAAAAATGATAAAAATGGACACATGCAAGTCGTAAAGATATTATCTGATTTGATAAGGATGATAAATATAATAGTAATGACTACTATAAAAATAGTAGTAGCATTAATGAAAAAAATTATATATATAATGGAATAACCTGTCACCCCCATGTGTGACTACACTATAGGTAGTAACTACCTATAAGTATCTGTAAGTCAACAGTCTAGCTGGGATCTGTTGAGTATGACTCGCTTACACAAGAGCTACTGACCTTCCAATAGTAGCATTCACTACTGGATTGATTTGCAACGACATTGTGCATAACTGTTAGCTTTATCCTTATTGTATTGGTTTTGCAATAAACCTTTTTTTATCCATGTTTTTCAAGAATATATAACCCTATTAGCACTGAATATAACAAGATATATAATATAATATAAATTAAGAAAGTGGAGACTTTAGAAACCCATGGTAATATTTTATTTCGTTAAATAAAATATTACCATGGGTTTCTAAAAGTCTCTGCTTTCATAATTATTTGCTCTGTTCTTACACAGAGCTCACTTTGGATTATCCATACAGATTACCAAATTATATATATATATATATATATATATATATATATATATATATATATAAAATCATGTCTTGTCCAGCTATTAACTGTTAAAAAAAATGCATAATCATTATGTAACAAATTTTTAAATTGTCAGGCTTATTACTTTCTGCTCAATTGATGTTGCAGTATGCAATGGATTCTCATTAATATATTCTTTATTTACAGGCATCTGAAGAACTCTTGGAAGAACACTATGCCGAACACAAAGGAAAAGGTTTTTTCCCAAAACTTATTGCCTATATGTCTTCTGGCCCAGTATTTGCCATGGTGAGTACACTGTTAAAGGACAATACTTTCAGGTTAAAATTCATTTATATGTCTGATTTATAGAAGCCATTGTAAACATTTTATTAGACTTTTATTTATTTTATTCTAGATAAGATATTTGACAAAACAAAATATTGTTATAGAGCTACTGATATGAAAACGGCAGTAGGGCTTTCAATAAAGACTTTTTGGCAGATAATAAACCTGGCTTAAATAGGTTCACGCACAACAATACCTTTCAAAATCACAGATGGTTCTGTCGCAGTGTGATACAGCTCAAATTGTGCAGATGCGAACACTGCCCAGTTATGTCTCTTTATATTAATGCAGATAAAACTTTTTTTTTTTTTTTTTTTTTTTTCCAATTAATTTTTTAAATTTTCATTATAATAAAATCGTTTAAAATTCTTCATTGCTTTTGAGAATACAATTGATGATCTCGTTAAGTGAAAAGTAAATTTACAAATCAAAATTTTAAAAGCTCATAACAGTCATTTGTACGCTAATATTTTTCAAATAATTTTTAGTGGGAAAAAAAAAAAAAAACGTTCTTAATTTTTACCTATGGGAATCTATACATGACATAATCCTTTTAACAGTCACATAATTTAAGTGTTTGACACACTACAATTATTTCACTTTTAATTCAGCTCTGTTTCATCATCGTCTTTGCAAATCATTCCTTCAAAATATCAAGTTTTACTTTTCTTAATTGCTCTTTCATTAAATATTTTTATTTTATACTAGCAGTAGAGCCCGGCATTGCCCGGGGATATAACAGTAAGAGATACATCAAGTATCAACCATCATAAAGACTGAAAAATAAAATTGATAAAGATTATTGTTTAAGGTTGACGGACACGCATGTCTTAATTATTATTATTTTTTTTTTTTTTTTTTTTTTTTTTTTTAATTGGTCAAACCCAAATTCAAACAAAAACATTGTTTGCAATTGTTATGAGTCTATCGATTGGTGAATAAAATTTTATTATAAACAATTGTCTTGTAAATGGAATTTTTAAAGCATTCTGAATGTATAAATAAAGAAAAAAGTGTGCAAGACAATAAGAAATACTACCTGCCCCCCACCCCCAAAAAAGTGGATGTTTGTTTTATCGGCTGAAAAATGTAAGAAATTCGATCCCATATATAAAAAAACACACACACACACACACACACACACACACACACACAAACCTGGGTTTTTAACCTAAGTCACTCCACGGAATCTCTAAAACATAGATTCATTATTTGAGTTCAGCATTGTTCTCCGCTGTTAAGCCCCTTACTTTTGCGAAACAGGTATGGAGAAGTTAACTTGAGTTTTCAATTTCAACTGAGAAGGGTACCTACAAGTAACAGTATCATATGAAATATAACTACTGCTAAACTTTAATTTATATGATCTTATTTTTATATTAATCTCAGTTATGACATTTTTCCATAAATGAAATAATAAAATGAATGGAAATACAAATACCACAGTAAAATGTAATAAATGTACATAAAATTATAGTATTTTATGTACACTTCTGATAAAATTTCATAAGAAAGGTACCTAAATTAATTAGATACCTCTTTCTTATGAAATTTAATCTCACTATTAACAGTCTTATCTTTTAATTTCTTTATATTTTCCATAAAGCATCGTAAACGTAAAAATGAAAGCTAAGTACAAAAAAAAAAAAAAAATTAGCGCTGAAAGTTTTCCTTAAAAGTAACGATGTAAATAATTTGTTCTTAAATAATTTCACTTCCTTCCATCCGTAGAAAGAATTATACTCCCGTAAGTTATCTAAACGTCATGAATGTGCCTTTCGTCAAGCGACGCGAAAGGTTATGACATACTTTGTTTTATTTTCAAATTACATTTTTTCGGCGCAGAAGCTAAGCTAAGTTAAGCTTGGTTCAAAATATTTTAAATAAACAGTATAATTTCTGTTTTTATTAAAATCAGTTTTGAAAAAATGATAATTGATTTTTAAAAGAATATCAAAGTCAGATTTTCTTTTTTTTTTTTTTTTTTTATCAAATCGAAAAAAATGATTGAAAAGGATTATCTGTCCTTTTTATTGACCAAAAAAAAACAATATTTTTAACGAAAATTTCAGACATGCTAGGAACGATTAAAAAATGTAAAAAAATACCCCCAAAATACTTTGATCTTTCCTCTTTAATAATAATAATATGAACATTAGACGATAAAATTTTGTTTTCGTCAAGTTCGGCTTTTTTTTTTTTCATCATGCTATGCACTTTTTACATTTTCGTGGGTGAGTTGTCCCCCTTTCATTCTCACGATGTGTCTTAATCGTGTTTTCACATTGATTTTGTTAAAAAAACAATTTTGTTTTTCCCATTTTCGGCCCTGTTAGAACCATCACAATGTAATTTTATGTAGTCCTGTGAGGTTTTGTTGAAATCGGCTAAAAAATGTAGGAAATTCGATCCAATATATAAACGTTACAGACACACACACACACACACACACACACACACAATCTGCGTTTTATAAGTAAGATAAGATATTTTAGTTTGGGTCATACTTCAATTAATTTTTTGTTTACGGTAGTGAACTTAAAAACCTAGACAAATCTTCTTAAAAACCTAACTAAAAGTCAATAAAATATTAAATAATTACTGAGAATGTTAATTTGTAAAAATTACTAGGTAGTCACTTTATTTTCGTATGTCATTTCTGGTTATGCATAAAAGCTATCATCACCTTAAGAGCTTCTCGATAAATCTAAAAAGATCAAAAAAGAGGAGGACCATCGTTAAGAAATGCTTGTGTGTGTGTATATATATATATATATATATATATATATATATATATATATATATATATATATATATATATATATAATTTTTTTTTTTTTTTTATGCTCTAAGTAATATTTATTTCAAATGAGATTTAATTTAACTTTAAATTTTTTAATTTTACTCAAATGATGTCACAAATCTATAATTTAATTTTAAAAGTTTTAAACCCAATAAATTTGTTTATTTACAAATTTGTTAAAATAAAGAAAATGGCCGCTTTTAAAAATTTTTTTTTTTTTTTTTTTTTTAAATTGAGCAATTATTTGACATTCCAAAGCCATATAATTTGTCTGACCAGAATATTTTACTTACTGGAAATAATAAATTTAAACATTTAGCTTTCAATTAAAGCTAGAATGAAATCTTCAAGAATGCTTTTTCATTTTTAAAATATAATTTTAAAACTTAGGTATCGAAAATTCAGTGGAGGTGCCTACTTTTAACACTACTAAAATGATATACCTCCACGTTCAATATAGCAGACTTGTAAAGTTACAAAGAAGGGTCATAACTCCTGTTGGTCCCAAGTAAATCACAACAATCCCAATTAGTTCTGGTATTTTTCCAAGGCCAAAATCACTGTTGAAACTGTGTGGACAAATGAAACCGCTGCCTATAATCTCCAAATAGAAAACTGAAGATTTTTTTTAGAGTGCAGGGAATGTTGGAATAAGGGTGTGACATCCCAAGAGGTGTTCTTTGAAAGAAAGTCATTATTTCATTTACTGTTTTTTTTTTTTTTTTTTTTTTTTTTCCTCCTGGTGTAATACATAAGTTCCAAATAAGAAATTGGAAAGTTGAGTTTGAATTCCAATCAAGTTCATTGCATTTATTTAAATGCAATTATGCTTGAGAAAGGTATGAATCCATCTCTCCCTTTCCCCACCAGCTATGGGTTAAATAATAGGACTTTTTATTTGAGAAAAAAAAAGTCTCAAATTGTTAATGCAATATTCACTTGCAAACAGAAAAAACTTCTTGTAGTCCCAGATTTTTTGGCTTTAAATAACCCAAAGGATTTTTTTTCTCCATTAAATATAGATTTGGAAAGGCAGCTCATAGCTTATAAAATTTGTTTCCATACAAATTGAATCCAATAAATACATGAACTGAAATTTTCAGTTTTAATTTACATAATGGGATTAAGTGCATTGATACATGAGACAGTCTTAAATTTTTTTTTTTTTTTTTTTTTTTTTTTTTTTTTTTTGTGGGTATGAGGCTTATTGATGTTCCCACATATCTTAATCTGTATATCAATGTTTCTGATATAGCTGCCTTTCTCAGAGTAGATGTTTTTATGTGAATACAGTGTTTATAGAAAATTGATAAGATTTTGCTTATCTTTCAATCAGGTCTGGGAAGGCACTGAAGTTATCAGGACTTGTCGTACAATGATGGGAGCCACCAAACCTTTGGAATCAGCCCCCGGAACAATTAGAGGAGACTATGCCATTGACATGGGAAGGTATTTTGAGTTTTAATTTTTTAAATAAGTATAAAATCTTTAACTGTAACATAAATGTCAAACATTTACACAAAAAAAAAAAAGATAAAAATTACTTTTTATAACGCATGTGTTTAATCCTAGGGTTATCTGGGGTTAACAATAGCAAAAGCATCAAGCTTGTCTAACTCAAACCATAATATTGATTTCATACAGGGTACAAGATGATTTTTTTTTTTTTCTTTTTTAGGCAATAAAAAAAAAATAATGAACAATTATTTGAGACAAAAAATAAAATACTTGGAAAGGACAGCCCCTTTTATGTTAGATGTCAGTTTCTTTCTCATTTTTGCTTTGATTTTATTTATATTCAGGAATGTGAGTAGAGTAGAGGTTGCTCCCCACTGTTATGGCCTTGTGCCAGGCTAAGTAAATAACTAAACATTATTAGTGAATTCAATCATTGAGATCTCAATAATTATGGCCTTAGGATGGTGGGTAAGTACACCTACCTTCATGTGATGATTAGCAAGTTCTTTTCTGATTGCTCTGACCCTGTGCCAGACTTGGCTATAAATTCTGAGCAAAACAAAACCTTTCTCACTCTATATTCTATTTCTAGAATTCTGCTAGGAAAATTCTTGGCTCATTCTATTGCTCCCAGAAGTAACTTTCTGACATATTTTAATCTTTACAAGTGTCAGATTAGACCAAAAATAAAATATTGCTACCAATATACTGCTGGAGCTGCTCAATCCTCACTTTCCAGCTTTGACAGACTTGTTTACATAATCTTGTGAGTGATGACCTGTAGTCCACTCTGCAGCCTCTCTCTTACAAAATTGTAAATCTAATGTTATTTCCATGGCAAGTATTCAGATGAGCACCATTCTTTAAATCCACCAGTTCAAGCTTTTACAAAGTCAAATCCTCCTCATTTCCTACATGGGGCAAATGTAAAAAGAAAAAAATTCAACTCTGCTTTTTCTCCCCAAGAAGTTCCACTTTTTGAGACATGTCAATTTTGACATCTTCATGTCAATGGTTTTCTTTCCTCCTCATGCTGATTATCTCCACTTCTTACCAGGTGCATGGCTATACCACATTGAAACGCCAGCTCAGTACCATCAGCCACCATTTGGGAATACCAAGTGCTGTAAGCTGGGATGTGCAATAATGGTTCTGAATTGAAAATTTGAGAGCCAAATTCAAATTTCAGTTGGGTTTGTTATATTCCTTTACACACAAATACCCGAGTTGGGGTTATGAATCCACCTTTTCTCCCCACAGCTATGGGCTAATTGAGTGATCTCCCGCAAATTTCTAGAATTTTGCAGAAGGTGAAGGTGTGTGTGTGTGTGTGTTGTTGTTTTTTTTTTAAATCACTTTCTGCATCTTATCTACCTTGAAACTTAGCAAACACCTTCTCCTTCAGGACCCCAGAATTAAATATTACCATACTCCCCCCCCCCATGTATAATATGCCTTCACCCATAATTTGCACACCTGAAAGTGTGGGGGGAAAATGCTTCTACTCATGCATAAAAACCCTATAAATTGTACTTCTCCAATTTCATTACAGCCAGTGTTTCCTACTCTTATTTATATAAAAAAAAAAAAAAAAATGCTTTTAAACATGGAATAATATTCTTATTTTATTTTACAGTAATTTTTTTAAAGATTTTTGTGAATTATTTTTGTTTCTTAGAAAAGAGTGCATATTATACATGAGGGAATTATGGTAAATGTATAAATTAACACAGAGGCATTATGAGTTGAATTATTTTTACCTCCTCTTACAAATTCTATTAAGTTTCCCAAATTTTTTTTTTTTTTTTTTTTTTTTTTTTTTTTTTTTTTTTTTAGGAATATCATTCATGGCAGTGATTCTGTAGAATCAGCAGAGAGAGAAATTTCCCTTTGGTTTTCTGATGATAAAGAAATCATAAATTGGGAATGTGCCAGTAATTCTTGGATATATGAATCTTGAAGAAGAAATACAATTCTTAGAAGTATAAAGGGACCATTTTATTGACTTATTTCAAAATCTGTCTGTCAGTTTATGAATAAAATTTAATTTAATTCCTTTCAACATTGTTATTATTATTCTTCAATGAAAGGTGAGTCATGTTTGTTATTACCTAACTGCAAACAAATAGATTTTTCTTATACTAATCAATGTATTCAGTTATTTGTAATTTCTGTCATCAAAAAGATCTTGGCATGATTTAAAAAAAAAAAAAAAAAAAAAAAACTGTTTCCCCATCATTATAGACCCTTTTTTTTTTTTTTTTTTTTTTTTTAAGGGACATGTATATTCATGGTCTTTTGGAATGTCCCACACATTAAATAGAACATTTGTACTTGTACCTTTTGCTGTTGGAATTTCTTGATAAATCAATTTTCACATTTCTGAGTTTCACAACTCAGAAGCACCTAAGGATATTTCCCTATTGCATCATTAAATATTTGAGGTTAATTTTAACAATACAGGTCATTAAAGAGGAGGGTACAAATGAAAAGCCATTTCACTGAAGTTCACTTTTTTTTTATGCTTTTGCCTAAGACATACCGCTTCAGAGGCTGCAGCTCAAAGACTTAAGAATTTAGACATGCAATCTGTAATAGGTGCTAACTTACTAAAGAATAAGCAGAATTGTGATATAAAAAAAAATTAAGCTAAGTATTGAAGCTTGCAACAATAATAAAGTCAATTTAAATTTTAGTAACATAAAAGAAAAAAATACATAGATAACACCTTCATACTTTAGCCTCACCAGGAAGCTGTACAACTATTGCTGAACCATGTGAACTCTTAATCCATTTCACAATGAAAGAAGAAAACACTAATCAGCTAACCTTCCTGGATGTACTAATAACTCCGAGAAAAATGGATTCAAGACATCCCAACCTTATCACCATCTATACAGTGTAAAGAAAAGGATTAAGTAAAAACTGTAAGTGATGAAACATACCAACAGGAAATGATCAGCATTGGAGGTACCCTTACAGAAGGGGTCAAGGAAAGGACCAGAAAACTACAGCTTGTCCTTACGTCAAGGGTTTATCTTCAAGGATTCGGGTCTGCAGTCCCTACAACAATATTCAGAAGCAGCTCCACACTACAGAGAAATCTGATGCTTCAAGCTGAACACAACCAAGAACTGTGTGTACGCCAATTCTTTATGGTTTTGGTAAAGAACACAAAAGCAAAATTAGCCACCTGTTAAAAAGAAGGTTGGAGGAACATTAAAAAAGCCATAAAATCATAAACCCCTATAGAATGAAGTAAAAACACTAGATGTAGAGGAACACCGGAGAGTTGGACATGTGAAAGAATCAGTACATATGCTACACTATGAGGATGTCCTTAGTATGCCTAGCATAGAAATAAATATATGCAAGCCATTAATAAAGAAAGAAATGACAGCAAAGCTATAACAGTAGTAGTAAAGAGAAACATTAGTGAAATCAAGCAACATCAGCAGATAGGTTAGGCTTAAGGCTCCAAGTTCTCTACTCAGAATTGTCCCATGGAACAATCGCCTAGTGGATTAAAGCATTGGTTTATGAAATGGGTGACATAGTAATTGAATTCAATCACTGGGCAGTGTACTGTGGAAACTGGGAAAGCAAAAACTGAACAGTACTAAGTAACTAGATGAGATATCTCTATACATGGTTAGAAAAATGAGAACAATCTACCCTTGTCAATTAAATAAAGTGCTCAGTTGTATGGACTGCAGATCCAAATCTTTTCTGATAATCCCTTGATATAATGAAGACAAACCTGGCACCACTCCTTGACACTTATGTTTCCTTTTACCTGGATCAACAAGCAGCTGATGAAGACTGGAGAACACAACTGAAATATGACAATAGTCTGCATGCAAATAACACATCCCAGAAATTCAAGAAGAAAAAAAAAAAAGTTGCACAAGAATCACTCAGCAAGTGCATGTGTAAATTCACTGAAGGGCGATTTAAAAAAAAAAAAAAAAAATCTGGATTGGACCATAGACATTTCACCACCCCCACTTCAGGTTCATTATTATTACAGTTAAATCTTTAGTCATTAAACCTAACGAGGCTTAAACTTCCCTAAATCATTTTATACTAATATGCTTAATTTAAAAAAATGGTATTGCATGCTGTTAATATTTTTCTATAGAAATATCACTTCTCAAAATGACACACAATGGTTATTTGCATGTTCTGTGAGGATAATAAATCATAATTACAAAAATTTTAAGCTTTTTATTTAATCCTTACAAAAAAAAAAAAAGCAAACTACATTTATGAAAGTGAACATTTTTTTTTTTTTTTTCAAAGAAAATAAAGAATTTTTATTACAAATTAGCTCTTAAAAAAGAAAAACCTCATTCATGCATTCTTTTGATCGTTTTTATAAATGATGTAAACAGATGAAATACAACAGAATATTGCAGAAGATGAGAAATGGAGTTGATCAATCATTCTTTTCAAGGACTGTAGGGAAATTGGTGACTCTTAACTCATTGCCATAATCACAAACAACTGTGTGGTCAATGACTTGGATAAACCGAACACAGTCTGCATCGTCACTGCTTCCCAATTTCACTTGTTTTTTCAATTGGCCACGGTATATATCCCAAAGATATAAATAACCCTGGAAAAAAAAAAAAAAAAAAAAGACATTAGTTGCATAAAAATATTTTCCTTATTTTTTTTTTTTTTTTTAATTACTTGATACAAGCAATAGTCATAATACTGTAACCAAACCTAAAAACCTTCTCTTAAAAGGAAAAAAAAAAAAAGTGAATTGCAAAAGTTACATGAGGTAATGTTTGTCCATAAAAACGAACATACTATGCTCCATTTCATGCAGAGTGGAAAATTTTTGTATGTGTTCAAAAGTATATCTTACCTGACCTCCGAGCACAAGGAGCTTATCAGTCAGTAAAACCATCTGCTGACTATAAAGACCAACTTCCTGTAAAAATGAAGAAAAATTAGAGGAGCATAAAAAACAGGCAATGAGATAAATGATAAGGAAATAATTTACCCGCTGACTATACAAGTAAATGTATTATTACAAAATACAGATTCCAATAATTAACATACTAAAGGTAATGGTAACTTAGACAAATTTAAGAGACAAAAGTTTAACAATAAAATCACAATAGAAGTTATCTCTGGTGGTTGGATTGTAAAAGATGAAACCTCTGTAGTAATAATAACACTTAAAAAAAAAAAAAAAATATAATTCCAGTTTTGATAGGTGCTAAATGTGAGTAAAAAAAAAAAAAAATTGCTTAAAAAAAATATAAATGGAAAGATCAATGACAGCTTCCTATCTTCTAGAGTTAACATAGACTATATATATATATATATATATATATATATATATATATATATATATATATACACACACACACACACACACAAATGTAGGACAATTTTATCTTTATTTTTACCAGAAATTAAAACAAACATTAGAACAGCTCATGATCAGACATAACAGACATTCATTGTCTGTTATATATATATATATATATAGAGGGAGAGAGTACAACTTATATTTTAGATGATAAAGAAACAATTTATACAAAGAATTAAATAGCAATTTTAATGTGATTAATGGCAAAATCACTTTGCTAACAGACTTTTCCCATACATAGGCAAACAGTAAGACAAAATATCACATTAATATTGCTATTTAATTCTTTGTATAAATTGTTTCTTTATTATATATATATATATATATATATAATGATTAACTCATTAATGGCCACCATCAAATATGGTATCTTTGGAGGATAATGAACAAAAAAAATATTAAGCAAAAAAACTAAAAGGCTTCATCTAAACAAAATAAGAAAAGCCTAGACAGAAGATGAAAATATAAGCATGTTGTAAAATCCCTTTGTCCAGTAGTGGTTTCAAAATGCTTACTACTACTACTGATTTTTATGGACTTTCCCCATCACTCACTTAGTAGTGAGGACTAAATTATTAATATAGTTTATTGCTAAGGACAGAGAAACAGAAAAGTCATATTACAATTGAAGATGATTATGATTATTGCGAAAAGCTGTACAAATCTTTGTATTTCTTAAACTTGTTTTTTTTTTTTTTTTTTTTTTTAAATCATTTCATCCCCAAGCAAGGTGATAAAGCCACTAAGATGCAAAGGGTTTGTGAAAGAAACAGAACAGAAAGTGTTACTGGGGAGGAACAATAAAAAGAAGAAGATTCAAAGAGATAAAATAACAATTTATATTGCATTTAAATTTTTGAAGATGATAGTTGACAGGAAAGCCTGACGCAAGTTTCACAAGCAAGATGTAAATTATGCATTGTGCATTTATCTGGGGGAATGGTGGTAAGGTCACTAGTGATTTACTGGGATATTGTTCTGGTATCTAGTTATAAGAATAAGTGTGTGCGTGTGTGTGTGTGTGTGTGTGTGTGAATAAATTACAAACATTATGTCTGCTTATTTTTTATCATAATCTTTTCATATTGACAAATATATTATTACAATTGAATGAGGCAAGAAATGCACTGTAACAGTAAAAATCACTTATTTCCCAGTTATAGTGCATTTCTTGTCCTATTCAACTGTAATATACAGAAAAATATTAGTCAGTATGAAAGGATTATGATAAAAAATAAGCAAACAAAGTTTGTAATTTATTCAATCAGATATATATAAACCTTGCATCAATGAAAAGTGCACATATAAAAGAAAAACAAGAAAATAAAACAATTGCTGATATCCCCTGACGAGTGGAAGGAGTGACTACTATAGGGTCTGTCTACGAAACTAGAGTTGGGATGCTGAAGGTAACACCAATCAGCTAAGTGACAAATTTTATATTTGTGTTAATTATATATATATATATATATATATATATATATCTATCGTGGCCTAACGATTGCACCTAACATGAAACAGACTGTCGCCTCTAAGTGTTGACGTCTATGTTCACTTTTATATTTACACACGCTCTATCTCTGATATTGAGCACTTTATTCCATAAATATAGCACATCTTAAGACTATATTTCTTATATATATATATCAGCAGAGAAAAGAAAGAAATTCTGTTATATTTATTTTTGTGTTGTTTCATTTTCACAGATTAATCAGTCTTCACTTGAATTCAGAACAGCATAAATTGTTTAACAAGTCAAATTCATGTGAAGCCTGATTAATGTGTATCTATGTATTTACTTACCAACTGTATATCATGTAAGAGCTGGCCTCTACTTCGATTCCAGACACACAACCTGTAATCTTGGCCTTGGCTAATCACATAATGTAGAGAGCACGTTAAAGAGATGACCGGTTCATCATGTGCACAGAGTTTATGTACACAGCACCCAGTTAGTAAATCCCACAACCGGACTGTAGTATCTTTAGAGCCACTAGCAGCGGAATAAGGAGGGCCCTGAAAAAAATAAATAAATAATCATACCAACTTCTATTTTTCCACCTGTCTGTCTTTTATATTCAAATATAAATGCTAGGTAACTTTAAAGAAAAAGTAATATTTATTCATTATATCACAAAAACTATTTTCTGATAATGAACAAAATGGTAGGCAAATGTATACTGCAAAAAGTGATTGATTGATAAAATCATGCCTATCATAGGCACATACAGAAGTCTATAACCCAAAAACTTAAAAAAACATTTTTATGTCACATTTCTTTTTAAAATAATTTCCTCGTCAATCTCATACAGTAGAAATTTCATACTGAAATCTACATGACAGCCTTTATTAATCTGCCTTCACATATTTTGTAAACTAAACTATAAACTTGAAAAAAGAAACACATTCTACAAATTGGGACAAAAGTGACGTTCAAATATATAAATTTTGCCTTACCTTGTCTAAATAAAGGGCTGTTATGCTACCATGGTGACCATAGAGTGTGTAGAGGCACATCCAGTCTTCTAACCGAAATACCTACAAAACCAACATTTTTTTTTTTTTACCAGAATGATTTTTATCTTAAGAATCTGCTCTATAACAGTTGTTACAATTGTATAACATCTAATACACTAAATGTATCAGATATTCTGGGAGAGAGGTAGTTTAATTTATTCCAATCAATTTCTATGAGAACACTAGCATATCAGGATTAAAGAAAACAAGTTTAGAACTAGCAACAATCTTTACATTTTGGGATTGGAATTATTTATTACTACCTCTGTCCCATAATAATTGGTACATCTGCATATACATTTATACACTAAATGTAGCAAAATATTATTGAACAAAGGTTTTCTGATATATTCCAAATAGTTTCTGAAGAAAAACTTTGGTAAATCATGATTAAAGAGGACTCATAATTTGCACCAATCCTCTCAAGATTGGAATTGTTTATTAATGCCTCAGTTCCATAACATTTGTTACATTTAATGTATTATGGAACAAAACCAGTACAATGTCAAGAAATTTAGTAACAGCAAAACGATTACATCACCTTTTTGTCTTGATAGATGCAGAATGCTTAAAAGTTTTTACGAAATAATCAATCAATAATAGTCTATAAACTCGATAACATTGTAACATTTGAAGAGGTATCTAAATAGAAAATGTTTAGAAACTGATTCCTCAAATAAAGTTTGGCCAATATGCTTTTGATGCAATACAAATATTGGAAAAAAATTAATAAGAAAGTTTATTGAAAAAAAAAAAAAAAAAAAGAACATTTAGCAATGACCAATTTATTAATCATGGCTACAAACCAGGCACCCTAAAAATCATGAGCTGATTTTAAGGATAAGGGAACAATTTCTTATTACAGTCCGACCTCATTAATCTGGTACTCTTTGGTTTGGCAATATTTTGAATCAGCCACCATTAGTTCAATTGAATAGCTATGAGAGCAGTGTCATATGTTGTTTTCAAATTTCCACAGCAGCAATGTGTTTTGGTGATACGGTCTTGCCCATTTCTTTTATATACAGTTACATATTTAACCATTCTGGATAGTAAGTAAACATTACATTTTGGCTTTAGGCTTTTTTTTTTAGTCTTTGATTTGCATGAAACAATAAAAACCTTGTTTGGAAGCATCAATGATTGTTTTATTTCTAGTTTTAAGCTTTGTTCTATCTCTGATAACACAGAGCAATATATATGAGGAATGAGCTGACAACACTATGTATATACAGGCATCCCTCAATTAATGCAACTTTGATTAATGCATTTTTGATTCATGCACTAAAATTTTCATATACCAAAACTTCATTAATGCATACATAATACTCAATTAGTGCAGCAAAATATTCTTCATTTTAACCATAGTAACTGAAAATTGATTTTTTTATAGTTGCCAATGTACAAATTAGCCACATTAATCGAGGGATTCCTGTATGCGAATCTTTTTAGGTATGATTTCTGTTATCTGGCATTTTCTGTGATCCTGAGGGTGCCAGGTTAAATAAGTCAGACTGTAGTTTTCATCTAAAATTTTGGGATAATGATACATTAATGAGTGTCCTTATCTTGGTTGTTATACTCAGTGTTTCAACCATTGTACCCTACAGCCTTCTTCAGGTGTCTGTCATAGTTTGTAACCTTCTAGGAATATCTTATTAATTGTTTATGTATCACAATGTAGATTTTAAGAGGATATTAAGTGTCAGAATCTTAAATGTGACAAGCAAAAGTGTAAAAAGATATTAAATTATTGGCCTACCTTAAGAGTCCGGTCATCACTGGCTGATACAACACGTCCACCTTCTAAATGAAGGGCAGTGATTGGTTTCTGGTGTGCCTGGATGTGGGTCAATAATTTACAGTGCAAGATTTCCCACAAAGTATCTCTTTTTTCTCCAACCTCTCCTCTTCCAGGTTTACTGTTGCTACTATTATTACTATGACTGGACGGATGGCGAACTGAACCTGATGTAGAAAAATTCAATATGGAATATTTGATTTATAGAAAACATAACATTAAATGTAAATAGATGGCTTAAAATAAGTACAAAATAATATCTTATGCAGATATGATAAAATAACACTTGTAGATAATATTTGTTGCTTACTAACAGCTATAGAATTGAAAGACGAAATTAGAACAAAAGGAATACAAGAAATTAACACTCTCGGGTGCTTAATTGTCAGTGTCAGAATTTTTCTTTATATGCAAGATGGGCAATCATTTAATAGATGAAAAAATGCAAAATTAATAAACAGGGTGACTTAAGCTTTGTGCAGGGTGTGGTATGTCCCACACTCTGGTCTTTGGAGATATTCAGTCATTGATTAACATGATGTTTAGTGGAATTTCCTCATCTCTTTATGCTTATTCCATTATCCTTGGATGCTTACAAAATGCTGGAGATGATATGGACATCAAAAATAAAACTTTCTTTTATTGTAGCTATTTTGATTTATATAATACTAAACATCTGGTTTTGTGAGTCTGTAATCTCTAAGTAGCCAGTGGCATTAAGGTATCTGTAAAATGTGCTATCCAGGAATAAAAAAGTTATCAGTTGTTGTAAAACAAAGAAATTCTCTTATAAGCAAGGTTTGTGTAAAAATAAAAAAAAAAAAAAAACTTATGACAAACAACTATCAAGAATGCAAAGATCAACTAAGAAAATAAATCAGTCCAACAGTTAAAGCATCAATTGACCCTCTTTTCTTGGGGGTGGGTATGTAGAAATGACATAAAGCAAAGAAACCAATTACCATTAAATTATATGAAAAAAATTTGTTGCCATTCCCAAACTTAAGCCAAAATTTTCGCCATGATTGAAAGTGTATTTTCTTTTTGTTTTTAATCACTTCACCCCAAGTAAAGCTATAAAGCCACTAAGACGCAAACAGTTGTTGAGTGCAAAAAAAACTGAAAAAATATTATTAAGGAGAGAGGATAAGAAAAGAACTGGAATTAGGGTGACAAGAGATGACAGCAATTGACATTGCATTTAAATTTTTGCAGACCAAAGTTGACTAGGAAGCAAGAAGCCAGAAGAGCAGTCCACAAGTAAGAAGTGTAAGAAAAGAAACTGTTAGCAAAGAACTTACAGTTACAACTAGCAATTTCAACTGTAAAATGAGTCCTAGCTGCCAATCTAGTACTGTGCTTAAATTCATAAAGTCGAGTTACCAAAGAGGTTCTCCAAGATGATTAAAAGAAAGCAGTTTTTGGAAGCATTAAAATTAACAATTGCCCCAGTTAACAACAGATTCAAGATCATTTTTCAACCTTATTGAACCTACAAACTTACCATTAAGACTTGAGTAAATAGTTTTGTCATCAGCATAGATACAGAGTTGAGAACTGATGACCTCAGGGTTGTTGATGAAAATCAGGAACATTCAAGATAACTCATTTCCCAATTAAATAAAAAAGACTGAATCAAATCAAAAATTCATCCAGAAATATTATAACCTTTCAACTTGTGAAAAAAATCAGCATGCCAAATCCTGTCAAATGCCTTCGAGATATCCAAAGCAACAGCCCGAGTTTCGCCATTCTGTTCTAAAGCTTGACAAAATCTTTCAATAAAAGCTGTTAACACATCAGCAGTTTACTTAGAGAAGCGAAAGCCATATAGTTTGTCTGAAAGAACACCCTGCAATATCAAATTCTTAACCAATTTAGAGTTGATTCGAATCTTCAGAACCTTACCAAAAATGTTTGTTTTGATTGCAAAGATCTATGACTAATTTTGGAAGAATGTGTCAGGCAGGATTTTTTGCTTGTCCAGAATAGAAAAATGGATAGGGTTAAGGATACTGTCATATTTCAAGCCTTCAAAATCAGCCACAACAGATGAACCACAACATCAAAGCAGACAGTCATTTTTTGGGAGGTGTGGGAACACTGAAAAGGTTTCTTATATAAATTTTATGCAATTTTAGATAGCGTTGAGGTGGCAACACCTGTACTAATATAGGTTTATCATAAAATAAGAGTAGATAGGTTCATCAATCATTCAATTCAGACTCCTTCCAAGTCTTTTGAACAGGAGTAAAAGTTTCCAGTTCCTTCTAAAGTTTTCTCATTCTCTTTCACTCCCAGTAACCCTTTGTGCCTCAGTAGCATTATCACTTTGCTTGGCATGGATTAAAAAAAAAAAGAAAAATATAAGATAAAAGCAATTTGACAAAAAGTCTATATGCCTAGGTATATGTTCACATTACCTGTTCAAGTTATCATTGAAAACTGAAGTTTAATGTATTGTCTATTAACTGAAGTAATTGAGTAAATACATTTTTCAGTATATTACCAAGCAATGGCAGTTTTAAATAACCATAAAATGTAAGTGTTTTTATTTGTCAAAGATGAAAAAATAAAATTGCATTAGAAATATATTCTGCATATTTTACAGTTTAAATGAAGTTTTAAATCTTAATACAAACCTCGTGTATGAAGTCCTGATAGTTGAGATGACTTTGAGGCAGGATTGAAACAAGTTTCCAAATTAAAGAAATCAATGCTCCCATCCAATCTGGCAGCAACTAATCTAAAACAGAACCAAACATTTATACAGAATCATATTGAATTTATATATCAAAAATATTGGAAAGAAAAAAATATATAAAATTCTAAGATAAGCAAATAAATTTGGGAGAGAGATTAACCAGCTTTTGTCACAAATGATAGTCACTAAGAAAACTACCATGTCAATCCTTTTGTTTTTTTCTTCTCTTTAACCTTTAAAATATATTTTACAAAATTTTGAATATGAAATTTTGATGACGGGAACAATTCCAGTTAAGTGAAACTACAGTTAACAATCCACAGATGGTAAAGTCCTACTTAAAACAAATATTAAAATAAACTTTGCATTCTTTTCAACCCCCAAAAAACTTGATGGTGACGAAATGACTATACGATAATCAGAACAGTCAACAGAAAATTAATAACTGATTTCTATTTACCAGTCACTAAAAGAAACAGTGCTAATCAAACATTCTCCATAAACTTTAGTTTCTATATATATATATATATATATATATATATACATACACACACACATATATATATTTATTTATTTAGGATAGGATTTTTCATTTATTAATCTGACATGTTTTAATTTATTGCTTAAACATTATTTTTAATGTATACCCATATCTGAGTAGATGATCAGTTTTTAATTATTTATTAAACAGTATATTTATATATTTATTTCCATCTACATTAGGATACGAAACTAAGGAGATATGTATATTTTGAGAATTGGGAAAAATCTGTGTTCAAAAGCACTACTCCAGCTTTTTTTTACTAGGAGGTTCTTCGTAGCTGAGAGGTCAAAACACGTCAGATCTAATGATGATTTCCTCTAGAGGATGCAGGTTCAAATCCTGCCAAATGGTGCATATTTTGATAACAAGATTTCTGGAATATTCAGGCTATTAGATGGAAATAAATATACTGTTTAATAAATAAATAAAAACAGAGCAAATACTCAAATATGGGTATCTGTTAAAAATAGTGTTTAAGCAATATATATATATATATATATATATATATATATATATATATATATATATATATAACTTTTGTCATTAAAACAAAATTATTTAACTTTAAAAAAAAAATCATAGAAAAAAATATAACCTTCAATTAGTCCACATTCAAATATTGAAAAAAATAAGTTCTCCTTTCTTGTCAATGCACTTAAAGTATTTGATTAGTCAAGAAATATTAGGTTAAGTATTATAGACTGAAAATTTCAGATCAAAATTCAGTTAATGGATGTCAGCTTACAGAGTTATTGATCCACTCTTGTACACTGCAATGCAGACAATACAAAAGAGACATGTTTGATTGCTTGACAGATTTGTTTTTTACAGTCTATCAATTTTATGGGCTTTTTGACAGCTTATCAATACCCCTCAACCTTTTTTGGGTAATTGAAGATTACATTAACAATTTGGGGGAGATAATGATTTTTTTTCCAGATACAATTTCTACTATTTAACCCAGAAGAAATGAATTCATGCCTTTCCTAAGCGTATTTGGGCATAAGTGAATATAATGAACTCAACTGGAATTCAAACTCAATTCTCCAATTACAATAAGACAGTCAAGTAAATATTTATAAAAGCTGAGTATAAAATCTAACAAAAAAATGTAAGCTTTTTTATTTTTATTCCAAACCCAAAGTTTGAATCAGTTGAAAAGGTGAACAAAGAAGAAATAAAGAGTTCAATTTACCTGCTGCCTTCCATACAAAGGGCAGTTACACTGGCTTTGTGCTCCTCATAGAGGCACTTCAAATTCCCTGTGCTGGCATCCCACAGCTAAATAAACAAAATATTGAAAAAAAAAAAAAAAAAAAAAAAAAACATTTCATACATATCTACATTAAAACAAAACAAAATAAAAAATACATATAAATATCATTTTAAAAATATTTATTCTTGTTAAATGAAAATCTAGAAATCTACTGAATGCTTTATTTTATTTGGAATTTTTCCCCTCTTAATCATCAGCATATATAAAAGTAAACATTTCACTATCTCTCTCTCTAAAAAAAAAAAAAACAGGCATATTTAGAATAGATAAATCACTCATTAATAAAAATAGATAGATGTTAGTGTTATATTCTTTGTTCTATATATGAATTTGTAATATTTATGGAATTAATAAGTATATGAAAATATTTTTAAAGAATGCTTTTACTGAGTCTTGGTATTTTTTTTAATCTAGATATCTAAACTATTTACTGATGCAAGCATAACATATCTAAAAAAAATGACAGCAAAAATATTGGTTTCAGGTTAAAAGATATCATCACAGCATGGTTATTCAAGGCAAAGAAAGACACTAAAATTTAATGAAATTAAAGAATGCTTACACCAAAAAAAGATTTTAATTTAATTTTTGAATGAATAAAGATTTTTAATAATTGTAGAATTTATTCTTGTATATACATAAAAAGTATAATCTCAAAATCTTGCTAGTCTTGGACTTGTTGTTTTTAGGTTAAGGGTTGTTTAAAGTTGAAAAGGTGTCATGTATGTTGACAAAAAAAAAATTAAAAGTGTTGAGTTGGTTGAGAAAATAGACAAACAACAGAGTGAAACAAAACAGGATATTTTTTGTGTAGAGAAAATTTCAAGTTCCTGAAAGAAAGCTCAAATTCAAGGAATTTTCTTAAAAGTCTGTAAAGCATAAAGAAAAAGTTAAACTTCCTCTGTTGGTGAGTTAAAGAGTGAATGATGTTTATGGTCTAAGCCATTTGTGTCTATTGCACGGAGCGCTTATTTTAGCTTCCTATCACATCCTCAGGCCCAAAGTAAAAGAGAGCTGGCTTCTTGGGATTCACAACTGATGTCACCAGTTGTCTTTTCTTCCTTTTTTTTTTAACACATGCCTAAAAGGCTGAAAAGGGGTTGCTGTTGCTAACAGGGTTATCAACACACACGTCTAGTTTAGGTTTAACGTCTGTTACAGATATTAATAGAAATGTTATGAAAAACGATCTAATTATTTTTTAAATGGTTATTTTAATTATTTTTGCTAAGACAGACAAGACAAATTATAATGTAATATAAATGTATCTCATAACTTAAGTTTCTCACCATTACAATATAGAAAAATCAAGAATCAAGTAAAACAGTGAATAAAATTAAAATGATAAACACAAGAAATTCATTCTGTAAAAAATAAGAAAATTAACAAAAATATTTGAAAGTAAATCATAATACCTCAATTGTTCCATTTCCACAACCAACAATAATAAGATCATCTTTGAAGCAAAGGCACCAAATAGCAGGAGCTTCATTGAAAACATTTTCCTCAGTAGAAACAACTAGATTTGCAGAATACAAAGAAAAAGTTCTTTATTAGTACAAATTAATTTAAAAGATTTGTCCATAAAATTAACACACTCAAAAATTGCTTACTTTGTCAATTGTAACACAATTTGTTCACTAGAGAGAAGAGAATGATAAAAGAACAGGTTCAAGTAATAAAATAATTGCTACAATGAATGCTCATATTTGAACTCAAACATAAATAGTTTCTTATCAAAGTACAGGGTGCAGCAGAAATACCTCCCACATAATGGTAAGATATTAGCTAAATGAAGGTACCATTGCCATAATGTCTTACCCTTATGTGTAAGGTATTTCTGCCACACCCTGTAGTTGGGATGTGTGGGTGGTGTAATGATAGCAGCTTGTAACAAGAAATCAGAGTCAAGTTGTTCACATTCTAGTTGAGCTTCATTATATTCACTTAGGATAGGCATAATCCTCCAGCTATAGGTTAAATAATGTCACACTGAGCTCTTCAGCCATGGGTGGCAACCAATCTAAGAGAAGGAAAACTCTGAATTCAAAACCATATGTAGCCCTGATGAAGCACATACTATGTAACTAATAAAATGTGGCATTTACAATGACTATGATCCCAAATGTAGTTGGCCTTGAGGATAACTAAAGTTAGTAAAAATGAGTATTATATATGCCTATAAACATAAATTCTCACATAAATTTGACAGGATAAAATTAAAATTATAGAATAACGAGAACTTTATGGGTTGTAAGTATTATAATTAATTATTTCTAAAATATTGTAATCAGGAGAACTATGTTTTTGACATTTTTTATTTTTTAACTGCCCCCAAAAGTCCCAGACTGTGAAAGTGAATGATAGATGACAAAAGATTTGCTAATCTATACAATGGGGGGTAAGGGACAATGGATCTCTGGGGTGAATCTAATTGAAACCAGTGGTAATCAATCCATCAAACTTATCAGAAATTAATAGCAACAAGTGGAGCCAATAATCTACTTGATTCTTAAAACTCAAAATGACAATAAAACTAAATATATATAGTGATGTTCTTATTTGATCATCATCTAACAAAGATCTGACCACATTGCCTCTTGTGTTTGTGGGACAGTGTGTAACTGATAAAGATCTGTCACTGTCTAAGTATGACAAAGACATCAAACAAAATCAAAAGCATGAATATATACACATAAAACACTCAAATCAGAACTGAAGACTACAAACTAAACCAACTAATGATGGAACTAAACAAGATCATGTGGTAGGTATGAGTAAGATTCACAAGAAAGAAAAAAACATCTGTTTCAGTTGAAAGAAAGTAACCAACTATGAGGGAAAGAATAACAAGTTTAGTGGCATAGGACTTCTAGTTAACCCTAGAACACTAAACATGGGTATATAGTACCCAGCACAAATTTTCCCATTTTTAATTACAATTTTCAGTACCTGATTTTTTTAACTAAATAATGTTTTTCAGTTCCTATTAATGTTAACACAAAGTTTGAAGTGCCTGCATGTAAAATATTTCAAATAAAGATTTATATTTAATATTTTTTTTGATATTTTGAAAATCAGGTATGATATACCAAGGTTAGTAGTAGTGTAACTTAATTGATGGTTAGTATTCCAAGATTAATAGTGAGATTGCCGGCAGCATAGAAAAGTTATCATATCAGAGATTAGCTTGGATAGTAATCAAATTATATAAAAGATACTATTTGGAAATGATACAAATATATACATCAAGTTTTGAAGAAGAAAATGAAGGTTTTTTGCTTTGTTTTTTTTTCCACTGATATCAATAGCGTTATAGACAGTGAGGTAAAAGTGACACTATTCAGATGAGTGACTTCAATACAAAATTAGGGACAAGAATAGAGAAAGATTCTCATCTAGAAAAATTTTTGAACAGGGAAAAGAAATGAAAGGTTAGCAAACTTCACAGCGAGGCACAAAATGGCAATAAGTGAAGAGACTGTACTTGGAAAAGCTCCCATCCAATTACATTAGTGTATATACTCACACATCATACAACTTTTGAAGATGTAATTTTGAAGCCAGTTTTAAGGGGTTCGCATCATACATAAAATATAAAATTAGCGTATGTACTGCTGGCCCTGGCAACACCATTGTCCAAACTATATATCCATTTACTGTAGTCAAAAAGTACAGCAGTATTTAAAATAAACATGATTTTGATAAAACTGATGTTTTACTTAACTGGATCCAATAATAATGCAGGTAATATTCACATATTAGTATCGTATTATAAAATGCAAACATAGCGAGTATGCATCTTTTCCATTGTTTACATTTATAAGATATTTAGCTGTTTCTCATTTGGTTGTTTATAGCTGCACACGTTTATGCTATGTGTATAGCATTACTAACGATACTTTTATCATTCTCTTTTACTTTTTTAACTTATTTAACTAAAAGATGGGATAAAGGGGTAGAGGTTAGTCTATTGTAATTTTGTCTCTCAAAAAAGGAACTCACATGATACACAAGATACATGATAAAATCATTTTTTATAAGTGAAAATTTGGGGAGTCACACAATACGCAAGATTACACGTTACACAAGTATATATGGTAACTTTATAATTACAAACAAAACCAATACTGTTAAAAAACTGTTAAAGATGTAATCATCATAAAGAAAGTTAATATTGAAAGCAATCATAGAATAGCCAGATTTGATATTAAAATTGAGAAAAACAAATCGATTATCAAAAAAATATATCAATAAGATCAGGGAGAACATAACATTTTGTGGAATATGAATAACAAATTGGTAACAATAATTAAAGACACAACAAAAATGGCAGGAGAAAACAAACAAATAAAAAAAGAATTAGGCTTTAAAAATATATTACCAAAATAAAGTATAAGTTTGCTTACATAACAATTTTTAATGGTAACAAAAATATCAATGGCAATCTATAAATGTTTCAAATATCCAAATTACCTGTAAATACACATCAAATCTCACAAATTTCAAACTGAACAAAGCATAACTCATCAATAATTTTGAATACAAAAAACACTTTAAATAAATCCTTTTATTCAAAAGTAATTCTACTCTATTATATTAAGATGCCAGCAACATCTGGAAACATATTGATAGAGTAAATAAAAAATATCTTACAGAACCAGAAAACTCTAGCCCAACCAAAATCTCAACACGAGAACTTCTATTTGAAATTGTTTTGATGAAAGTAATAAAAGCAATCATATTAAATATATTCATAACAAAAAAGCAATAATTAAAAACAGCCAGGCAGATTTAGAGATCCTCACTCATCAGAGCAAAAATCAAAGACAAAAAAAAAAAAAAAAAAAAAAAAAAAAAAAAGGAAAAAGTGCAACCCCAGACAAATGTTATATGCAAGAAAATATGACATTAAACGTTAATTACCTTCAAACTGATCAACCACTCCTTCTGTCTACAGAGAGATGACTAGTAGGACTTAATATATACAGATTCCAATACTTTCAACTAATAATCAGAATTATCCCTATTCAGCACTGCAAAAATGATCAAGCTATGAGACTGCTGGTTTTTAATCAAATGATAGATTAACATACCTATGTCAATTGTTCTTCATTCCCATATAAATATTGACTCATACATATTGTTTAATTATAAAATTCATCCCTCTTAATACTGTTGCTAAAAGATCATAATGGCAATATGAAATGCATTCTGAATTGATAAGCAAAAGCAAATAACACTAGACAAAAGTTTTTGTGTTTTAGACTCAATCAAAAAATCTAAATCTGAATTCAGAATTGTTCTAGAAAGTCAGGATTTTGTGTTATGCACAAATACATGATTAGAGAGACTTTTTTTTTTTACATTACTTACATGTGAACTATCATCCTTATCTTTGTTGTTATTATCACAACGTTTTAGCCATTTTTAGCCATTGTGCCCTTCAGCCCCCATCGGGTGATTGTTGATCAATCCAGGTAACCATCAGGAAATTTAGAACTGAACTCTTTAGTTTATCTACGAGAATAAATTATTCCCATTCCACTGAACATATCTAGGAATATCTTGCTTTGTTTTTATTTAGTACTGCTCAATTATTGCTCACCCTGTTTCCAGTGTGTCTATCTCTGCACTGCCCAGCCCAAGGACTGAACTTACAACTACTATGTCAACAAATTTACAAACCAATGCTTTAATCCAGTAGTAAATGTAAATAATAATCCTTTATCCCCCAAAATTCAGACAAATTATCAAATTGGAGAGGCTCTGTTTACACGGAGAGATAGGGAAATTTTTGTTTGCTACCCACAAAAATGGCATGAAATAAAATAATTTTTATATACACACATAAGATATATATTTTATGTTCAGAGTAAATAATATATTAATATTATAATTAAAGAGAAGTGAAATTATGGAGAGATATAGTGAGGAAAGTCAGTTTGAGGAATTTAACACTCACAGGAAACTTCAAAGGGAAGGGGATAAAACAGTGAGAAACCTGAGAGATTCAAACAAATTGTTGGCAGAACAATTTTCACAAAGGAGCAACAAAGACTGATGGAGAGCCATAAATGCTAACATCCTAAAAGACATGGCATATTAGAACATGTATGTTCAAGGCAAATTAGTAAATTATTCATGTTAAAGGAAAATTTAGATGATGCTGGGAAATAACCAAGACCCTTATTTTGATGCTTGTGCATTGAGGTTGGTCTCCTGTTGTAAGAACTAATAGTACTTACCTATCATGAACCATCTATGTCCTGTTAAAACCTTGCACTATACTTACAAGTTACCATTAGAAATTGTTATGTAAGCGAACTTATATTAATAAAATATTTACCTGTCATGTCCAGACAATTCCAAATATAGATTCGAAATCAGTATAGTTTATTTAGTGAAGTACAGGATCAGTTGTCTAAGATTTTTTTTTGGTTGTCCATTGTAATTATAATATTATAACAATTCACACATTTTTTTTTTTAATGGCTTCAAACATTTGTAAATATTTGCAATAACAAAACTAACTCACCTGCAGCTGAACCACTATTTCTTGAGTCAATATCATCAAAAGAAAACTCCAAATCTGAGAATTCAGTTTGTTTTTTCTTACTTCGAAAAGTTTTTTCTTGTTCCATCAGGCTCATGTGTTCTTTATAAACTCCGTCAAAACGGGCACCAAAATTGAAACCCTGTGAGTTATTAAGGGCCTGCATATCTGGAGTCCCATATGGTGAAGATGTTGCACTGGTGGCAAAATCACTCTCAATGGTACTTGACAAATCTGGCAGTTCATCAAAGAAAGACTGATTATTTCTGTCCAGTCCAGAAGTTGAGGTGGTCTCAAAACCATAAAGGAATTCAGAATTTGGACTGCCTTCAGTTTGATTTTCTACAGGCAAATCAAAATCATTGTCAACGCTTTGACCAAAATTTGCAATTCTCTTCATAGAAGATGCACTGAAGTAAAAAGAAAATAAAAAATATTTTAAAAACAAAAATCTTATGCATCTTGAAGCTTTTAAGTTTAAAAATGGAATTAGCTTTTAAAAAGTTGAATCACAAAAATATAATTTGTTAAAGCATGCCCCACTTGAACATTCAAATCTATAAAATAATGAATGCTATCAAATAGGAAATAGCACCAAAACAGTGCAGGTTTATTAAAGACACTGGAACAAGAAATGCAATATTTATGTTCAGATTCGAATCTCTTGGAGGTGACTTCTTGATGTTATCAACCTGGGGAGGCGATCACAGCATGCAAAACATTTGGAAAGTGTCTGAAAACCATACCACGGGTTGAACCAAGCTTTGTGAGTGAAATTGGGTAAACAGAACCCTTGGGTGGCAGTTGATGGTTTTGCTAACACGAAGTCACAAGTCATTGTGACCGAGGGGTTGAGTGTGCTGGCCTTGTTCAGACTGTTGATCATGCTGGATAACATGCCCTCTCCCAGAAACTGTAACTAAGGTTCACTCAATATAAACCACAGGTGGGCGCTGTGGGTGTTGAACAAACACAAATATGCCTGAGCAGGATTGTCTAGCCACCCTAGTAGACAAGTATACTATTTAAGTTTTACAACAAGGTGATCTTGAGAGAACTAGAAGTCCTACAAGTTGACACGGTGTTGATAGCAGACAGAGAAAGGAAATTGCAAGAAGTTAGTAAAAGAAAGTAAGAAAAAAAGGATTATTTATAAAGCAGGTTTTGACATATGAAAGGTTTAAACATCAATTGTAAGAAGACAAAGTGTATGGTTGTCAACAAGATGAAGAGCCCAAGATATGAAATATGAATTGAAAATGCCAAAATAAAGCAAATACAAAAATGTAAATATCTGGGAAGTGTTTTAACAGAGGACAGAAAATGTGATACTAAAATTCAAAGGTACATTAGAATAGTAAAAGATGCCTTTCAAAAGTTAAGCAAAGTATTAAGAAACAGGAAATTCATTACAAAAAAAAATAAAAGTGTACTGAACTGTTATGTAATATCAGTCCTCCTAGTGAATGCTGGACAATCTCCTCACAGATGAAAAAGAGACTTGAGGCAATAGAAATATGGTTCTACAGTAGGATGCTGAGAATAACATGGAGTGAATATGTGAGAAAAAGGAAACAAAAGGATGCTTATACTTAGAATCAGAAATAAATAATAAAAAACAAATCTCTTGAATAATTTCATGATTCAAATAGTGCAATAAAAAGTTTTTGAGTATAAAAAAAATAACTAGTAAACAACACATGATTGATAAAAGAGACAGAGTTGCCAGAATAGGCTACTTTTAAAAATCCAGTGCTACTAAATTTGGAATTTCACTATTGCAACTATTTTAAAAATAAACTGGACTAAATTAGGCTAAGAGGAAAATTATGCACTTTTGATTGTAAATACCAGTTTAACATGTTTTTACAATTCAGTCTCATTAAACAAGATGTGTCATAAATAAAAACAAAGAGACAAAAATAATTAAAAGAAAAAGAAATCTTTGCATATTAAAAAAAAAATACAAATGAAACAATGTTTAAAATTCCAAATATCTACTCTTGCAAATAATATCAGTTTCTTTCTACATCAGATTTTCAGTTTAATTAAACAATGTTGGGACAAACAGGACCAAATGGCTCAACTATTTAGGAGAAATGAAAGTAAATGCGAGTAGATATTTATGATGTCAAGCTGAACACAGTATTTCAACAGCAGAGATGCCAAGTTAATGTTCTACTTTTGAAAGACAAGTGCTTCTAAATTTTAACTTTCACTCCTTGTGAGTTTTTAGACAGCTTTTGAAAAAAAAAAAAAAAACGTAAACACAGTAGAACAATTTAAATTGCTAATGAGAAGAAAGTTAATTCTTTTCGATGCAAAGGATTACTGGTAGCAGAAGAGAATGATAAAATTTTAGTGAGGAGAAAGTAGAATAAAAGATAAGGGTTCAGGAAGACAGAAAATACAACTGATGTTGTATTTAAATATTTTTAAGATAGTAGATGCAAGAAACCTGGTCATTTCACAGATGAAGCAAGAAAGAAACCAAAAGGTCGTTTCACAGATGAGAAGTGCGAGCAAAAGAAATTATGAGAACAGAACTTATGGTTAGATATAATATCTAGCTATTTTGACAGTAAAATGATGAGACTTAGTGGTCAATATAGTATTACACTTAAATTCATGAAATCAAGGTATGAAAAAGGAGAGATTAGAACAATACCATGAAAATATTTATAGAAAAAACAGAGGGAAGCCACATCACAGAAGTAGGAAAGTGACTGCAGTCGAGATGCCAGGTTAGGACCAATAACTTTACAGACCTTTCTTTGGATTTTGTTGAGAATCTCAAGTTACATAGCAGGAGCACCAGACCAGTTATGACAGTAATATTCAATGCATAGACGAGAAAAATTGTCTAGCACAACATATTGAACCAAAGCAGAAGACCTAGCAATTAATTCAATATAATTGCTCTACTTCATGTTAATGGAAAGCATGAAAGTGCAATGATTTGCTCTTCTGGTGGTTAGCATCAGCCATGCTATTGGAAGGTAAAAATGTTTCTATATGAAGATATTAGAACAAATGGAAAGCTTTTAAATGTAAAGCATTAAATCTCTGATATGTGAGAAAAGTGAGAACTTAATAGTCTCATCAATACTTACATGCATCTCTGGATTTCAGTAATGCATTCTCCTGTAAAAGAATCCCATACCAGAAGACTCCCTCCAAGACAAGCACTGACAATCAATTGACCATCAGTCTTGACACATTCTACATCCTAAAAATAGAAAAAATGTTAATATACACTAAATATACAAGAGAAAAATTGGAGAATTTAAACTACCACAAGAAATACTTAGAGAAACCTTGAAGAATCTAAATAAAAGATTATATGAACACAAAAGGGATCTTTTACAAAAACAACACATTAAATGCATTAGTTCTTCACTGTAATGAGTGACCATAATTTTTTTTTTTATTAAAAATGCACATGTATAGAATATGCCTTAATCGCGAGATCATCCAAAGTAAATTTGTGTCCAGGTTCTTACAACATTTCACCTTTCTTCTATTAGCACAATGTGAGATATTTCATAAATATAAATAAATATTATTGTCCTCATCTTTGTTGCCATATTTATTACAACATTTCAGCCGTTGTATGCTCCAGCCTTCTTCAGGTGGTTGGAATGTCGAACTGAACCTTTTATTTCATTCACTGGGGTAGACTGTTCCAGTTCCACGTGCCATGTTTAATGGATATCAGTTATCAGTTATCTCTTGTTAATTTACCTCTGAAAGTTAACCACTGCCTTAGCCGAGTACTGAACTCACACTCTTTGGGTCCTGTCACTAGATCTAACTAACGCTATTATCACCAGCAATGGCAAATATATACATGGAATGGAATACTTTGAGGAAATGGCATTAGAATCTATATCTCTAAAGCCAACTATATGGTTATGGTATGTAGATGACACCTTCATACTCTGGCCACACCAGGAAGATGTTCAGGCTCTACTGGACCATGTGAACTCAATAAGACTTTCGATACAGTTCACAATGGAGACAGAGAGTAATAACACACTCCCATTCCTGGATTTACTAATATCTCGAACAGAGCATGGGTTCAAGACATCTGTATACCGTAAACCGACATTCACCGGACAGTACCTCAATTTCAACTCCCACCATCCATACAGCATAAAGAAAGGGATCATCCGCTGCTTACAACACCGAGCAAAAGTCATAAGTGGCAACCCAGAGACATTAGATAAAGAATTGGTCAGTATAATTAGTACCCTACAATGTAACAACTACCCTGGGTATATGGTAACAGCCCCAAAAAACTGTGATAGGCGGGTACAAGAGGAGGACAACAACACTCAGAAAACAGTCTGCCTGCCTTATGTTAACAGGTTATCAGAGAAAATATAAAGCCGATCAAGCACAGAAATGAATACAATATGGGAACCAGTAATAAGGAGTTCCAGAGAAAAGCGATAACAACAACAAAAATTGCAATATGAGCTCTGGTAAAAGCATGCAATGATAACTGCAAAAATTGCAATATGAGCAATGAAATGGTTGCTGAAGACATTAGGTTTATAATAACCATAAATTCTTACACAGATATCCTCAAGGATACATGGCACAGTGGATAAAGGCATTGGTTAGATCCAGTGACAGGACCCAAAGAGGGAAGAACCTTCAGATTTCAAATTAACAGGAGATAACTAATAACTGACATCCATTAAATATGGCATATGGCATCCCCAATACCAGGGTCTCTGCCACCACTTCAAGACAATCAGAGATATAGCTAGGAGGAAAAATAGATCCAACACCATTTCAGATGCCATAAATTTGATTTTATAAATGCCACTCTACTTAAAAAAAAACATAATTCTTTACATAGGAAATACTTCAAAGGAATTCTGATAAATCTCTTATTATCTATGATCACACATCAAACACACTACACTCTCACTAACTTTTATAAAATCCATACTTAAAAAGCTAAAATATGTTCTACTACTACCACCAGGACAGTGTTATATAAAAATGTCCCCAAATCAAGATGCAGACAACCACCATACATAAATAAAAATGCCTACTACACACGAATCCTGCATAGACAAACTAGAACCATTATATACTTACACACATAAATTTACACAAACTGCTTTACAAGACAAATTGCACATGAAGTCTGCTTAACCAATGCAAACAAATACAAAAATTAAAAATGCCAGAATTTTTTTCTCTTTTTTTCACCATATCTCATTCTCGTATATAGTCATAACAGTTTACAATATATGAGAGATGTAATCATAAATTTAACATTAATATGAGGTGGGTACACAAAATTTCTCAACCTAACCAAGAAGCACCTCCTCCTCACTCTGACATTTGATCAAATTTTATGTAACAGACCAACAACACTTCATATATGATTTCATGGGTGTGTAATTCATATTTTCTCAATGTACAAGCAAGCCTCAAAGATATTGCAGGTCCAATTCCAAATCAGAACAATTAAGTGAGTCCAAATGGATATACAAATTATCTTTGCACTATACTGCAGTCTATTAATTGTACAACAGTATTATGACTAAAAATAAATAAAATAAAATAAATAAAAACAAATAAAAGTAAATAAAGTAAAAATAAAGTAAAAAATAAAGTAAAAAATAAATAAAAAATAAATAAATAATAAATAAATAATAAATAAATAAATAAATAATAAATAAATAATAAATAAATAAATAATAAATAAATAATAAATAAATAATAAATAAATAAATAAAAAATAAATAAATAAAAAATAAATAAATGTATAATATTTCAATTTAAAAAGCCTAATTTGCATCCACTGCTCATGTCTTCAGATATCTCATCTAGTTCTTATTTTTAAGTACTGCTTAGTCATTGCTCAGCCTGTTTCCAGCATGTCCAAGTACACACTGTCCAACCCAGGGATTGAACTCATAATTACTATCACCAAATTTACAAACCAAAGCTTTAATCCACTAGGCTATTTTTATACATAAAGGTTCAAAAATTCACATTACTAGGCAAACAATTTCCACATATATAAAAAAAAGTCTCATGTACAATGGAACAAAAACAGTCTATCCCCATAGATTAAAGGGTTCAGTTTGTAATTTTCTGTAGGTTACTCAGCTCGATATACATCTGATGAAGAGCAGAGGTCACAACAGCTGAAACTTTGTAATAACAACCAAGATGAGGACAATAGTCTGCATGTAAATAGTGTAAATAATGATAACTCTTCATCCCAGAAATTAAATTTATACCTTTTCAAATAGGAAATTCATGGTGGGCTATCTAATTAAAAATCTTCCATACTGATTCACATATCCAGTTATAAGAGTTCAGTTTTGTAACAAAAAGTTTTGAGATCTTAATTCCATTTGCCAAAGAATTAAATGTAAAATAAATTACAGGAATGGTGGCATCAAATCCATAGTTTCTACTAGACAAGATAAGATCATGTATTTATCAAAAAGGTAAATTTTTTTCCTTTTCCCAAATTGATCTTCAATAATTTCTTTGCTTAAAAACCATTTGATAATGTATAAATAAGATACACACATAACTGGAGAAAAAAAAAGACCCAAAATCAAAAAATAAAATGATACAATATTTGACAAAAACTTTTTATATCAAAAAGTCATGTTACTTACTTGTAGGTGGCCCTTTAAAATCAATGGAATGGATTCTTGTATCTGCTTCACATAACTACTTGGTCGTTCCCCACCTTTCCGACGCCAATGCCGTGACTTATTCCAGTTTTGTCTCCATTTATCATACCTGAGGAAAAATCAAGCCACTAAGATTTGGAATTATATTTCAAGAACAAGAAGAGATATTTTATATCACAATTATTTTATGAAATGGTTAATTCTAAAAATATTTTAAAAGATGATTTAATGATTATTAACCCTCTGTTAATACTGTGGAGTGTTTGAACAACCAACAAAAATGTTTTTCCTTAATATTTAGCAAGTAGCAAGTTAAATTTTCATGATTAATCAAGTTGCTTCCTGGATACTTCTGTCAATACAAGATTTTCTAGTATAATTGTGTAAATTACATGCACATAACCGTCAAGTAAGGATTGTTTGTAATAAGTGTGGTTGAAATATATGTAAAGATACCAGTAAATTTTTTGTTCATTGCTTGTAATGTGAAAAAACATTTGGAGAATATTCAGATTGACCATAAATTATTTTAAAAAAGATCATACAGAAAATAAAATTAAATCTATTTTTGAAAATTTACTATTCTGAAATTTACAAATTCATTTTTTAATATTGGCCTTTTAAATTGATTTTTTAAAAAAAAATTTTTTTTTTTTCCTTTTTTTATCCTATAAAAACCAGAAAGAACACTCAAGACAATATATAACAAAAACATTAAGAAGTAAATGATGAAATATCTTTAATATTTTCAATGGGATGTTTAAAAACCAATGTCACTAACTTTGTGATAATGGCCCACGGTACTAACATCGGGTTAATTCTCTTTCATCTTAAATTTTAGTTGCATGACTTTACTTGGGCCATCACTCTATTGCAGTGTAGATTGGAGGAAAAGATTTTTTTTTAATTAAAAAAAAGGATATGTTACCATTGAGATTTACACATATGTCCTTTATATGTCAGGTAAACCTGTTTAATTGCATTAACTACTCTTAGAATATGAGTTTGTAGGAACTCCTCAACAGAGCAAAAGTCTATATTTAAACTTTTTATATTTCACTTTTATTCTTCCTCAATGACAAATTTGCTATTGTTCTGATGTGAGTTGTATTAAGAACAAGTTATTTACTTTTTGATAATATATTGTCAACTATTATTCATCTTTTTATTTTGACAAGTAATTTTCTTTAATCTTAATTTAGTTGCTTTTTGGCAGCTTGTGCCACACTCACACTGCCTGTTAATTTCCTCTGCTAGACTGAGAAACTGCAATGTTAATTCTCTCAATATGTCTGGAAAAGAAATTTAAATTTGGTGCAATTACACACAAAAAAAAAAAAAAAAAAAATGCTTTTTAAGTAATATGTTTTAAGTAATAGATCTGTGAATAAATTCAATTGAATTTGGCTAATGAGTGAAGTAAAGCTTCATAATTTGAAGCCAAGATAAGTTTTTAAAACTTTGTTTGTTTAGACTTTTTTTTTCAATATTGAGCACTTTACTTAGAAAAACTGCTTGCCTGAAAAGTGTTAATAATACACTAGCTGAAATTTTTTTGTTTTTTATATATATATATATATATATATATATATATATATATATATAATATAGTGGTCTATATATATATATATATATATATATATATATATATATATATATATATATATATATATTAGTGGTATATATATATATATATATATATATATACACACACACACATAAATTCCCAAGAGGATAGAATCCAGGTAGAACTCCATGTCCAGGACAGAGTAAAAGTGTAATATAAAAGGCTCAAACACTAACATTCCATAGTTATAATTTATTACATTGGAATCGTAATCATGATCCAAATGTAATAAATTATAATCATGGAATATTAGTGTTTGAGCCTTTTATATATATATGTTTTAAAGTGTGCTATATTTATGGGATAAAGTGATCAATATCAGAAATAGAGCATATGCAAATATAAATATAAAAGTGAACATTGAAGTCAACACTGTTTCATGCTAGACGCACTCATCAGGAGGCCTGACGATTGCATCTATCATGAAACAGCCTGTCGCCTCTGTGAGTTGACGTCAATGTTCACTTTTATATATATATATATATATATATATATATATATATATATGAAGAGAGAGAGAGGTATGATACAACTTCTACTTCTTACAGAAGACCATCACTTCAATATAAAACTTTGTACATTGTTTTCTCCATTTGCGGGCCAATGGAGAAAACAATATACAAGAACAATTTAAGTAAAACCCTTTTGTGTCACATCAGTGTAAACATCACTTTACCCTATGAAGTCCTAAAGGATGAAATGTGTTACACAAAAACTTTTTCCATTTTTATATATATATATATATATATATATATAAATATATATATATATATAAATATATATATATATATATATATATATATATATTAGGACCTTGAATAAGTTCTTGCTGTTTTCTAACAGATGGCGTACCCAGAACCACATGCATGTAGTTTCAGATGAAAATGCATCTATAAGGAAGTACTATAAGCAAGCTTGAAATTCAGCGTATGTCATTTTGCCGAAGTGTAAACAACTTTGTATTTCATAGTGTTAAACATGTTAGATTCCATGCCAAAGAAAGTGTATTTGCAGGAAATTTTACTGCACTACTTTATTCAAGGGAGGTACAGTGGAGTAATGGATAGTGGCTCGGAATGAGGAATTGGAGACCCTAATTCGAATTTCAGTTGAATCCATTATATTCACTTATGTGCTAACACCCTTGGGAAAGGTATGAATCTTCTTCTCCTTACAGATATGGGTAAATAACAAGACAGACCAGGTTCTATAGCCTTGAATGGCAACTGGTCTACCACAGAAAGAAATGGCAACATACTGCGGGAAAAAATCTGCCTTGTCAGTCATGTATCAAAAGATACATGATCTCTGAGGCAGGTATCATGCATGGCACACAACCTGACTGATTGACTGACCTTATTGAAAAGAAATCTGCAGCTGAAGCACACAGAATTCTTCTTGAGGCTTACAGCGACCATGTTCTGTTGGAAACAACATGCAAAGATTGGTTTAGACACTTCAAAAATAATGATTCTGATGTTGAAGATAAAGAACGCTCTGGCGCACCAAAAAAGTTTGAAGACTAAGAATTGAAAGCATTACTTCATGAAGATTCATGTCAAATGAAAGCTGAACTTACAGAATCATTAGAAGTTGATCACACAACAGTTTCTAAGCATTTGAAAGCATTAGGAATGATTCAAAAGCAAGGACAATGGGTGTTGTATGAGTTGAAGCTGAGAGACGTCGAACGGCATCCTGTCATGTGCAAACTGCTGCTTCAATGGCAGAAAAGAAAAAATTTTTTGCATCATATCATGACCAGCAATGAAAATGGATACACTATGATAAGCATAAGCGTAGAAGATCACAGGTTAAGTCCAGCCATGCATCAACATTGGGGGTAAAGCCAAATATCCATGGTTCAAAGCTTCTGCTCTGCATTTGGCAAGATCAGCTGGGTGTAATTTATGATGAGCTGCTCAAACTGACTGAAACCATCACAGGAGATCGCTATCAACTACAATTGATGCATTTGAGCCAAGCACTGAAGAAAAAACAGCCACTATATGAGCAGAGACATGACAAAATGATTTTGCAACATGACAATGCTAGGCCACATGTTGCAAAACAGGTGAAAATCTACTTAGAAATACTTAAATGGGAAGTCCTACCCCTCCTGCCATATTCACCAGACACTGCCCAATCCAATTATAACTTGTTCCAATTGATGGCACATGGCCTGGCCGAACAGTACTTTCAGTATGAAGATGCCAAAAAATGGTTTAACTCGTGGTTAGCAACAAAAGACATGTCGTTTTTCCGACGTTGAATTCACATGCTGCCAGAAAGATGGGAGGCAGTTTTCTTACTATTTTTTGTAAATAAAACATTACTTTTCATGAAAAATCAGCAAGAACTTATCCAAGGTCCTAATATATATATATATATATATATATATATATAAATAAAAAAAAAGAACAGTAAGATATAAAATCCGGTGTTCTTATAGATATTTTATTTTTACAAAATAGTGCTCAATGTAAATTTACAGAGCATTAATATTATAAATTAATTGATTTAAAATATGGTTATTTTCGCTACACAGTTCCAACCATGTTTCAAAAAATAGAAGCTAAAAACCCTAATTTTATTTTTGCAAATAAATTAAAAGCATTAGTTCTATTTCATCTTCAAGCGAATTTTGGAGTAACTTTTAAAATTTACGGGTTTTAAATACACAGCTAAAATCACGTTTCCATGGTTACAGAATATTCTACTCAAATTGAACACGGGGTGTCTAGATTTTCCTTATGACAGTATCATTGTATCAGTTATTAGCTACATTTTGGTAAGGGGTGAGGATGTATTTTTACACTGAAACCTGACGTCGGTTGAATGGATGTCGCCTGAATTTAAAAAAAAAAAAAAAAAAAAAAAAATTGTTAACGGTAAAAAATTTTCAACGTCATCTTTTAAAATTAAAAATTTTTTTTTACAATACTTTTTATTTAACTACGATTTGAAATATTTTCCTTTTAATTTTATTTTACTATATTCTTTTTAAGAACAGTTAAATGTATTAGAATCCATTATATTATGTAGGATTATTTTAACATTAAGTTTAAGTATGTATATGAGGTTACATTTTTTTTTTTTTTTTTTGTATATGACTATGACAGCAGAAATGGTTACTTAATTTCACTGATTCAGTAAACTTTTCTTTTATATATAAACCTATTATTATAATATTTCACATGTAAGTACTGAGGACATAATATTTCACATGTAAGTACTGAGGACATATATATATATATTCATTCTGGTTTATATTTCCTACAATAAGATGGGTAACAAAAAAAAATGTGGTAGATTAGAATAAAAAAAAAATGTTTGTAGCGAAGAAAGGAAATTTACGAACCTTCGAGAACAGAGACACCTGTAGAGCATGAACATAAAATAGGCTGTAAGGAAAACACTGAGAAGACCAAGACACACTGTGAGTAGAGACTCTCCTTCAAACATATAATAACGTGCAAATCTGCCACTCTCCATGCCAGATAAGTATTCCTCCCTATTAACAGCCCCGTCTAAATTCCCACCACGGAGTTCCTCATTGGGATGACGGAATTTTAGAGCATCTTGAGGACTGATCACAGCTGACAAGTGGATGCTTGGAAGAATAGTCACAAATCTAAAAGAAAATGGAAAAGAAAAATATTTTACATTAGCAAATTGCAATTTCAAAGGATTTAAAACAACAATTACACTTTATTAAATTTTACTTTCTTGCATACCATTTCAGTATTTACAACTTAGATATAAATTTAGTAACTTTACAAATTTACTAACATTTTACCTAACATTTCAATTCAATATATATATATATATATATATATATATATATATATATATATATATATATATATATAATAATGGACTCTCCCAGTTTCGACATATTAGGATCTAACAACTTAATTGATTTAGTTATGAAAGTTTGTGTGATAATCTTAAGTGGCACTTAAGACCTGCTAGTGATTTACAAAGGAGGCCATATATAAAGCAAGAGTGAGGATTGTGGGATGAGATCACTGTTAGATTGGCTGACCTTTTAGATCTTGCTCTCACTTCTTGAAGACGAATCAGACAAACTGATTGAAAACTGCCGAGTCCACTAAAACACGTTGATCTCCATTCTACCCACTGCAAGGCTAAGCGCTTGAGGATGTTATGAGGTATATTAACAGCTGACAAGTTGCTCTTCAACTCGTCTTTGTATCTTAGCCATGGGCGTCCTACATTCCTGTAGCCCTGATCTAACTGACTGTACATTAGGATCTTGGGTATCCTGTCATCAGACATTCTCAAGATATGACCAATCCACCGTAACTGAGAATGTATGAGAAAAGTCTTGATTCCACCACATTATATATATATATATATCATTATTTTTATTATAAGAGATTATAATAAAAATATGTTGAAATCGCTACACAAAAGCTTTCATGTTTCAATACTATGACTGTTCTTCTTCAGGTGATGATAACTGGTGACTAAATGATCTTTAAAGAAATTTAAAAACAAAGTGTTACCTCTTTCCTGAAAGTTTTAACTCTTCCAATGAAGATGTCTCTTACAAGCATAGTAAATTTTATAACACTGCCTTAAAAAAATAGTGGCTATAAGTGCCCTGACATCAAATATATAAAATATAACAGCAATAGCAGGAATAAAAATAAAAACAGAAAAATAATTTGGTACACACCTCTATTTAACCGAATAGTACTAAGGGCAGAATTTTCTCCATTTAACCGAGAAACACTTCCCCAGAAACGATCCACTTAGTAAGATTTTTAATAGAAATACACTAAAACTAAGCTACAGCTGTACCGATAAACTTGAAAAAGAAAATTTAAAAAACAATTAAATTTTAAATCAATAAAAAAACCTGAATAATAATTGCCATTCCAAAGCAACAAATGCAGATAATACAAACAAGTGTAATGGTAGAAATTCTAGTGAATGCAAATTGCAAAACATGTCAAACAGACTCTCTTGTTTACCTAAGCACTATTTCTACTATAGAAAATCCTACAGTTAAAAAATTTTATATCAGGAGTACCAACAATTCCTTTAAAATTAGGTGGTACCAACATGTATTATCTTTCTCCAATAACACATACAGAAATAGGACGTCCCTTTTTAAATATTTTTGGAACTTAAAAGTAGTAATGGTAAAATGGAAAAATACTAAAATAAAAAACAACTTGTAAATCTTTAAATGAACATGTTTCTTATATTTACATGAAAAATTAGACATCAAATTTGCTGACAAAAAAATCTATTAAACCAAAGGAGTGAATTAACTGTAAATTGTCAACAGTTTTTACCTTAAAATATAATTTATTTTTTTAAAATTATATATTACCATTTCTTATAGCCATAATTTATTAGCATATAATGGTCCACCCTTTACGGATAATTACCTTATTTTGTTTATTCAGCTTTAATATTGCTAAGTATTGTCATCCAGTTAGTATTATTAATATGTTATATAGATGTTCCACATTTTTAATTTTATCTACAGGGTCCTTTAAAAGGCTTCCTGTATCTAACAATTTTTTCTGTTAACTTTACATCTCATTAACCTACCCCTCCTTTTAACGCCCTTTCAAAAAATTGAACATGTTATATTTGTCTACAATCACAATACATTTGTAGCTGACATATTTTCCGCAATCACCAGCAAGAGCCAATGTTCCAGTTTATCATGACATGAAAAATAACTCACCCACTCCCACCCTCTGAGTTTACTTTTATATTTTTAATTCTGACCTTATACCCCCTCCCTCTTTAACTTTCAGAAGAGGTAACACTTTTTTAAAAATTTCCTTAAAAATCATTTAATCAACAGTTACTTACCATCACCTGAAGAAGTACATTCATAGTACTGAAACATGAAAGCTTTTGTGTAGCGATTTCAAGATGTTTTTATTATAATCTCTTATAATAAAAATAATAATATATTGCTCTACTTTGTATTGAGCACTTTTTAAAAAGTAAATGCTACAAACAGTGGAATTTTAATCCATCCACTCTTTCTCCCATTTGGATATTTGTCTATATTACTGAGATGAGGTATTATGATTACTTGCATTATTTACCTTATTTGAACTGCCACCAACATCTTCATTGCCATATTTACAATGTTTTGGCCATTGTATGCTACAGCCTTCTTCAGGTGATTGGAATTTCAAGCCAAACCCTTTATTTCATCCACCGGAGCATATTGCTCTCATTCCACATGCCATGGCTCTTCCAGATGTCTCAATTATTTCCCTTTAACTGAACTCTCCAATTTTTTTTTTTTGGTTCACCACTGCTGTGGACTGGTATTGAACAACACAACTTTGGGTCTAGTCACTGGATCTAACCAACATCTTTATCCATGGACTCTTGGCCCAGTGAGAATAACAAGACTCCAAGGTCAAAAAATGCTTCTATAGAAAATTTTGTTATAAGTAATATTTGTTTCAGAACAGATTAATCTAACTTTAAATTTGCTAATTTTCTGCAAATAATGTTTCAGAAATATATATTTTATTTTTGCAAGATTTTTAAAACCAAGAATTAAGTTTTGTTTACAATCTATCAAAAAAATTAAAAATGGCCATTTCAATTGTTTTTAAAAAAACAAAAATGAATCAAGTAAAATTAATTTCTATTTGAAATATACCACAGTATTTTGCTTTCTGAATTAGAAAATTTAATCCTTTAACATTCAATTGAGACTAAAAAGAAAACTTCAAGAAAGATTTTTTTCATTTATGAAAATACATTTAAACCTTAGATATAACGAATTTTTGAAGGAACCTACAATAGACTTTGCTACCCATAATGCACCTTTGACCAGCATATATAACCAAGCCAACACACACTGCCTGAAGATAGCATTCAATCATAAAACAGACAGTTGCCATTCGGTGGACCTCAGTGTCCACTTTTATATTTACATACACTCTATCCAGGATATTGAGCACTTTTAACCATAAATATAGCAAAAACTACATTTTTTATCATATATATGTTTCATTAAAAGCAACTGACAAGATACTGTGATTAGGTTTATTTAATTTTTCTTGTGTTCTTATAATTACAATTTTTCATTTCTGGACATAAATTATGTAGAAAATGCCTGAATGTTCTGTACGTCTGATCACTTTTGGTTATTCTTTTAGCCATTATTAAGGATGATTTTATTTTTACTTTTAATCGAATGTATGCATTTCTTTATGTATATATCTAGAGTTATAGGAATATTTTTTATTTTCCAAACACAGTCAGCATATTGTGACCCTGTTCATAGTTGATGTTATTGAATGTTGGCCTTTTTCTTTTTTATTAATAATGCTTCCCTTTAGCCTTTTTTACATGTAGATGAGGCTATTATATTTGTATTGTCTACAAGTATGTTGTGGGTGGAGTTTGCTAGGTTACCATGTGTGTTTAAATGAGACCTAATTGAGCTATTTGTAGCTATTTTATGTTGTTTGTTAACTTTTTATTCATTATTGATTACTTAATTATTTTATCATTATTTTTTTAAATCAAATTCAAGGCACTAAAACTCAAGGGGTTAAGTAGTACAAAAGAATTAGAAATTAGAAACATTATTAAGGAGTGAGAAAAACAGAAGAGTACCAGAAAGTCAGCAGATAACGATTGACATTGCATTTAAATTTTTGAAGATCAAAGCATGGAGCCATAAGTGAGAAGTGCGAGAAAAACTGTTAGCATAGAACTTACATTTACATTGAGCCAATTCAATTGTAAATTGATGATATCTTACTGTCAATCTAGTACTGTGCTTAAATTCATAAAGTCTACATAACAGCAAAGAGCTCATCTGAACAATTATCAAGAAAGAATTAATAGAAAAGGCACAAGAAAGCAACTTTACAGTAGTGAGAAAGTGACTGAAGCTGAGATGCCAGGTCAGGACCAATTATATTGTTCATTCTTCTTTTAATTTTATCTCCAAATATATAACAGTAGCACCGGGCTATATCTGGCAGCAATACTCAAAGCATGGATAAATGGTAGATTTATAGATATGTAAGATAGATTCTGAAGAGATAAATTGTGTAGAACAATACAGTGAACCAACTTTCTTAGCAGCAGACTTAGTGATGGATTCAATATAGTCTTTCCACTTCATGTCAGCAGAGAATGTTAGCCCAAGAACGTGCAAAGAATCACTCTTCTGTCATTTTACGATTTGGTAGTGAGCCTTCTAGTCATACTACCAGGAAAAGTTCAATTTTTTATTTAATTAAATGCATTGCTTAACTGCAGGTAAACACAGTAAAACATTTTCAATGTTCTTTGTCAGGTATAAGGCCACAGATGTGCAGCATCTAGTCAAATCCTGGTTTTTAATTGGATTTGAGATACCAACCATTACCAGCGGTAGAAAATATGCAACAATCTAACCAGCTTATTTATAACCTTACCTTATTCTGGCACAAGGTCACAAGTATGGAGTATACAATGAAGGATGAACACAATGAAAATTTTGGCATTTTTTTTTTGTTATGCCCATTTAGGAGATAAGAGATCATGAATCCACAGAATTTCTTTTATTATCTGTGAATTGCAAGGCATTTTTGAAAAAGTGGTTTCCTTTTGACATCACTACATTTTTGAATTCAGAGTCATCCTTTTGCTGACTGGTTGACACCCAAAGCTAGAGAGCCAATCTCATTTAACCCATAGGGAGGAGAAATGCATTGATGCAACAGATTAGCTTAGAATTTGAACTCAGCTTAACAATTCCACTGTCCATGCCAATATCCATTATACTACCTAGACATTATAATTCTAAAAAAAAAAAAAAAAAAAAAAGACTCAAATAGTTTGACTTTTACTTTATATATTTTCATTTGATGTTGATATTTCACATGATCTAGTATTTGTTCTTTATTAAATCAAGACATCAGGATATTATTAAAAGACCGTTTGCAAAAAGATGACATTTTCTTGAAAAAAATCAAAACATATTTGTAAAAGAATTTTCAAAAGATTGTATAATGAAAAATACGAACCTGCCACACACACTCATATTGTAGTAACCAAAAAATGTTGGCCAGTGTTTATAGGAAAGTTGTCGCCACATTTCTAAATCTGCATGTTCTAGAGAACCAGTGTCATCATCATATTTACCTCCCAAATATAATCGGGAATTTTCATCACCAGTCATATTCTTTGACAACCAACTGTCATCAATTGTACTCATTATGGATTTAGTCAGATAAGCTATGAGTCCTGCTTTGTACAAAATAAGAATAATCCAAATAACAGTTCCCAACTGAAAAAGCAAGAAAAAAATAAGAGACATTTTTTTTAAATCATTTCACCAAGTAAGGCAATAAAGCCACTAAGACACAAGAGCAGTTAGTGATAATGAAAGAAACTGAGAAAACGTTTTTGAGCAAAAAGAACAATAACAGAACATGATTCAAAACAAAAAAGAAAAGATGACAAATGATGCTGCATTTTTTTGTAGTTTACAAAAAAAAAAAAAAGTTGATTGAGAGTTCCACAAGAGAGAAGTGTAAGAGAAGAAATTATTAGAATAGAACGTACTGTTGTATTCTAATATATAAAGTGTATATGATGCATTCAGTGGTGCAGGGGAGGGCTTTCAACATTTGATAATTTTGTAGCAATATGCACTTAAAGGTTTTAGGCAGTTTTGATCAACATTTCTTTTCATGATTAGCCGTAAAGAATTGTAAATGTAGGACTATTTTACACTTAAGTAAAATAATAACAATAATATTTATTACAAGAAATATCAACACTACATTGTTCAGACTATCATCATTTTTGTTGCCATATTTATCACAAAGTTTCGGCCATTGTACACTCCAGCCTTCTTCAGGTGATTAGAATGTTGAATTGAACCCTTTATTTCGCTCGCTGGGGTAGACTGTTCTAGTTCCTTGTGCCATGCCTAATGGATGTCAGTTATCAGTTATCTCCTGTTAATTCCCCTCTCCAAGTTCTCCACCACCTAACCAGGTATTGAACTCACACTCTTTGGGTCCTGTCACTGGATCTAACTAACGCCTCTGTCCACTGTGCCATGTGTCCTTGAGGACAATGTAAATAGTGTACGTAATACTTCATCTCAGAAATATAGACAAGAAATATCAAGTTTTACGGAAACATTGCTGACAATTATGTATTTAGTTACATTGCAAATAAAAATAATATAAATTTTGATGCCATATTCAATTTGCTGTTAGGTAGTTTTCATTTTCTCCTTTGTTATTGGCAGCATTTTAGAATACTTTGGCTGCAGTGCTAAGTTTCCTAAATTGAACAAACTGGAGCTATTTCGTTTATGCTTTGTTACTTCTCTTTTCCATTTTTAGATCACTTTCTTCCAGTCATTTTGATGGGCAATAGCAAAATTCTAAAATTTAGAATGAACTTATTTCATTTCAAAAATAAAGCCTGTAAAAAGGAATCTTCTAAATTAATATACAACCAAAAATAAAATGCTTTCGACAAAAGACCTTAAAGATTTCACTATAATTATGTAACAATAACATAATTATATTCTGCTGACAATTCTACAGTTTATGTTACCTCATCTTATTGCATGGCTACAAACTATAAACCCAAATTGAGCTTGAAATATTGTGTAATCAGCTTTTTTTTTTTTTTGTAAAATACTTGGATATGATATAATGAATAATTTGCAGTGAAAAAAGCAATTTTATATTCCCCAAGCCTTTTTTCATTGAATATGTGCCTGAGAAATTTTAATTGTCTCTTTCTGATTGTAAGTGTCCTTTTTGTTTCCATTTTTCATAAAACTTCCTCATTATTCATATGTTCAGTCCATGGGATCCTCAGCCTCCTTTAATAAAACCACATTTCTGTTACCTCAAGTCTCTTCTTCATCTGTGAGGAGACTATCCAGTATTCACTTCCATACTGAAGGACCGATAGAACAGTTCAGTTGGTGGAGTAATGGATAGCGGCTCAGACTGAGGAATTGGAGAGCTGTGTTTGAATTCCAGTTGAATCCATTACAATCACTTATGTGCTAATACCCTTGGAAAAAGTATGAATCCTCTACTACCCCCCACCCCCCAGCTATGAGTAAATAGCAGACCGGGTTCTATAGCCTTGGATCACAACTGGTCTACCACAGAAAGAAATGGCAACCTACTTAATTAATTTTATCAACCTGAAGAGCTCAGTTGGTAGATCATAAGACTTTTAAGAAAATAATCTTGAATGAGATATCTGCTGGTCTCAGATTCAAGTTTATTCATGTAAATCACTGAAGTAATTGTAAATTCTACCTAGGATCAAAATGTGTTATCTGTTCTTCTCTGTTGTATTCCAATGTGATGAGACAGAACATCAGCACTGTGTTTTTGTCTTCAGGCTGTTTGCAGTTTATGAAAGAAATAAGGAAATTTTAAGAAGAATAGGGGCTACAGAGAAATTATTGCACAGAACAGTCAGAAAAAGATAGGTGAAAACTTTTGAGACACAAAATGAAGACTTGACAGGCAGATAATGCAATGGCTATCAATGTGGGAAATAGAATCAGCATGATGAGTTCAAAATTCCAGCCAAGTCAGTTGTGCTAACTTTCACACAAATCCACTTGGGAAAGGCATGAATCTATTACCCCTAGCTGCAGGTCAAATAGCAGGGTATCAGTCAGTCAAGGAAAAGGAAAATTGCATTCCAAACCATACAGAAAGTAACAGGAAAATATAGCAATATCAGTGTCAGCTGATATCTTGCTAAGGACCCACCTGTAACACATCACAGAAATTGCTTTGACAATTATGTCTTGGCAAAGAAAGTCAGCTTAATGGAGTGGACCTCCTAAGAACCAGGTCAAACGATCCTGACAAAGAAGATCACTGAATGAAGCCAGATCATGATTTTTTAATGAATGACTTTTTTTAGACAGAGCTGACAAGGCAAAGAACACTATTCTCTATAAGACAGTGGCTCCTAGGAGCAAAAGTAAGAAAGACCCAGAGACTTCTCACCATGACATGAAAAGGAAGACATGCCCATTAGACTGTTCACCACCTCAACACACCTCATCTTTGCCTCACTCATCTACAACAGAAGGTTACAACCAGAATAAGATTTGTCTAATGCTACAACTGTCTCATGGTTATATTTTTAGGGGTAATGAAGAGTTATTATTTTTTAAGCCGTAAGCATTTGACTGGAAGAAGTTACACCCTGTGAATGAACCTGGTATCTGGTCTGAGCTGCAATGCTACAAAAACACTTCACTATATTTCCTAAGATATGGCAATTCACAGGCAATTAAAAAAAAGGAATCTGTGATGAGACTTGGACTTTTTAATGAGGAAAGGTCAAATCAAAGGCAAGAGAAGCTGTGGAAAGAAACCTATAACCTACATGAAAAAACTGATAAAGAAACAAGTACCATAAAGAAAAATTATAAAGGATGAAGTATTGCTGAGGTCTCCAATAGATAGGAAACGGTAGAGGATCATGATCAACTACATCCTAAACAGACGCAGCACAAAAGAAGAGAGATCTCAGCATTAAATTGTCAGCATTGTAGAAAGCAATGCAGTAAAGCTTCTATAAAGGAATGAACATTTATACATCACATAAGAGCATTGGTTAAAGATATAATCACTCACTTACCATGATAAGACGCTGCACAATTCTAGTCCTTGCCAAAAAGAACCACACCTGTAGTCGTCTTGGCAACTGCAAAATAGTAGGATTATTAAAGAATTCATCTTCCATGTAGGCAAAAGATGAAGTCTCTGCACTGGAAACACTCTGTCTGCTGCTATGAGCAGTACTAGATTTGACTCCCTGTTGTTCAGCTCCCAATGGATCATTGGGATCACAGTTACCCTCACCACCTGTGATGCCCGGGTGGATAGTTTGTTTGTGCAAATCAGACAACTGAAAGAGAAGACACCAAAGAGAATTAAGAGTGTCAGTGAAAATCTTCAATGCAACATCTTTACAACTTGAGATTAAAACATAAGTTAATACTCTACATTTTAATAATCCCTAAAGCATTAAATAGCTCTTAAATTACCTAAGAAATTATATACATCTGATTAAAAAAAAGAAAAATATCATTCATGAAATAACCCTTTTCTTTTGATTCGTCATTATTCCTGGTTTACTGAAAAAAGAAGCTGTTTGTGGCTAAATACTGGCTTTCTCAGGTATATCCCAACTTTGTCAAATGGTTTCCATTCGAATAGAATCCTGAATAAATTAGTGAATGAGAAGGGAACTTCTAATAGTAGGGTCAATATGTTTGAAAGATTGTTGCAAGCATTACACGCACACACCACCCTATGTATATAGCTTAGTAGGTAAGTAAAAAAAAATATAATAATAGATTACAAGATGAGTGTTCTACTCATTACATCTAAGATGTGAAACAAAAATTAAAAAGAGAACTTTAGGAAATTACTATACACTAATTTATCGAGAATATAGTGTCCCCATTTTAGTTGTGATAGTCATAATGCTTCAACCAATGTGCTTTTTGGCCTTCTTCAAATATCTGTCATAGTAACTTCCCATTTGAACCCCTTATTCAATCCACAGACATCTCATTCTATTGTCCATGTGAGAAGAAATCTTGTATCAATATTCTTGTTATGACACATCTTGCATATTGAATCAAAGCATATATGACTTTTGTATTACCTGACCTTGGAATTGAACTCACAACTGCCAGGTAACTAGATCCATTTAACTAAGGCAACATTATTTACATTAGTCGGACTATTGTCCTCATCTTTGTCGCCATATTTGCCACAACATTTCGGTCGTTGTACGCTCAGGCCTTCTTCAGGTGGTTGGAATTTCGAACTGAACCCTTTATTTCGATCACTGGGGAAGACTGTTCTAGTACCACGTGCCATGTTTGATGGATGTTATCAGTTATCAGTTATCTCCTGCTAATTTTCCCTCTGAAAGTTCTCCACTGCCTTAACCAGGTATTGAACTCACCTTCTTTGGGTCTGTCACTGGATCTAACCAACGCCTTTATCCACTGTGCCATGTGTCCTTGACACTAGGCAACATGTCTTGCAGGATAATTTGATGGTAGAAACATAGGGACATAAACTTAGTGCCACTTGTTTGCCTCTTCAATTCAACCAGAATGACTTTACACAACAAGCATTGTAATTAGGAGGTGAAATTTTTTAGCCTTAGGCTTCAAGTTCTATCTTTCTTAATGGCTCTTATATGGATTTCATTTCTATGCTAGGCCCACTGATGAGGTTATTAGAGCATAGCACATACACTAATTCAACAATCAAAATGAAGACACTTGTACAAGTAAATTCATGTATGATAAATGATAATCACTCATCTCAAAGAATTAGACAAAACTGAAAGTATTAAAATTAATTACTTTGCAGCTAGAAAATAGTTTGGCTGGCATTTTGAAGTCCTTCTTGATTGCAGAAAGCAAAAGATAACAATAGATTGTTTAAGGCTTCCTTTATTTTAAAATGAAACTATGATGGGGGGGGTAGCAATAAGATATGTAGTTAATTTTAATCTAAACCTTTTCACTGTATAATGTTTGATCTATGCAATTAATATTCATCACTGAATTAAAGACATTGACAACGAAGGAGATTATGTTGAAAAATCAATATTTGTTGTGAAAAATAAATTTTTCTTTTTTTATCATCATTAAGTGTACCTATGTAGATAAAACTTGTATTGGAAAAACAAGTGAAATAAGGAAACTACGAATATATAGAAGTGGAATTAGATGATATCAGAATTACAAGTTTAACTAGTTACTAAATTAAATTTGAAGACATCGAATGGAATTCATAAACAGTCAATTCAACAACTTACCTCCATTCTCCGAATGTCAACAGACAAAACTGTAGCAAAGAATGCCATTTGCAAAAAAAAATCTGTCAGGAGGCCAACGACAGCAAAAAGGCAAAATTCCTATAGGATGAAAAGAAAATGCATTTATCATGTTGTATTTTTCACAAATAAATAAAAATAATAATGATTAATCTCAATTCTTAAAAATCCTGACTTTTATACAAGCAATTATTACAAAGCAAACCCATTATAATTAAAGAGAATGGCTGTACAAAGTGTTGTGAAGTTATCAATCTAGAAAATAGAATGAGCAAATAAATTCTGGACGAGACTGTTTATATCAATTTTACCCAAATGCTGGAAAAATGCATGAATCTAAATCTCCCTACACTTTATCCCTTCACCTGCTGTCATATAATGAAGAAATATGAATCTAGTGTTAGTTCATATGAAAAAAATATAATGAGCACTTAGTCAAATGAGGAAAAACAAAAGAAAGGATGCTTCACGGTGAGAGATCAAATATTTCCCTTTTCCGGCTTTGGTTGGAGGTACAAGGGGAATAACTCTTGTGTTTCTAGTCTTCATAATCTTCTGAACGATGAAAATTTATCATTAAATCATCATGATTTTGAAGATAATACAAGTAGAAAAAGTTTTATTCAGAAAGCAGATGAAACTAAACAAATCAATAAGATTTTCTAATTCAACTGCAATTAAAAAATCTAGTATTTTTTTTGCTATAACAAATGCTAAATGAAATCTACACATAGTATTTAATTTTTTATGCCCCACATTAGCTACCAAAGTTTCTTATTTGTGACATTCAAAGAAAGTTTTATGAACTTATATATGCTTCCTATTTCATAAATAAGTAATATTAAGTTTTTTCCTGGAAAGGGACAATTTGTCACTCACAGGGTATATTGAAGGTTAGGAGGGCAGAGAAAAACAGTGAGTCACTGACTTAATGAGATTGTGTAAATGGATGGCAGAAGATGGGCTGGGAGGGATGCTGAGGGAACAAATTCTGCTCATAGTTACAAAGGATAAGAACTTTTAGAGAACCATGATCACCCACCCCCTGAAAGGACATGGCACATAGAACATCAAATTTTACAAAAAATGATTCTGAAAGCTAATAGGGACTATATTTAAAAATATAAACTTATTAAAATATAGCAATAAAGATTCTTACCTGAATTGCAGGAACAAAAGTGAAAAAGCCAACTAATATGATAAGTAATTCTGTGGTTAAGTTTTTTGTAATGGACCAACCTTCTTTTTTCAAACCTATAAAAAGATTTTTAAAATTTAGATGAAAATTCCTATTATCAAAATCAAAAGGTGATTTAAAAAAAAAAAAAAAAAAAAAAATGATGCCATTTTGAATTTTTAAAATAAATTTATACAATTTAATTGATCTCTGATAAGTTTTTTTGGGGCACTTCAAAAATAAATTTGTGCATGTGTGTGTGTATATATCAGTGGCGAATCTAGTTCATCCATATTTGTCAGGCGTAGTACAATCTTTAACAAAATATACTATTGGTATAGCTAACTTAGATGCTAAAATGATTCCTTTACACTGACTAAAATATATAATTTTAAAAAATCTGTGCATGAAATAAAAAAAACCCTTTAGTATTTTAATATTGACTGTAATAATTCTATAAAAATAAACATTTATTTAAAAAACTTTTTTACAGACATGTAAAACACATGTATCTATTGCAAGTGTGTGTCTGTATATGTCTATACGTTAGTGTATTTATGTGTCTGTCTGAAATTTTAGTTCAATTTATAGTACATTTATGATCAGTACTGTTGACTGATATCCTATTTCCTCAACACAACCCCAATCTCATTCCTTATTCCAAACCTCCAGTCAACGAGTTAAGGCTGCTACTTTCTTTGATTTTCACCAACATTAAGTTGGGCTAAAATTAATTTGCCCTTTTACAATTGATACATTCTGCTAAAAAACTTTATACTGCACAGAATAAATTATTTAAAATGGACATTTGAAAACAATACATTGAAATAAAAATGTGTTCCTTGAAAAAAAGGGTATACAAGTCATTAGAGATTTTTAAATGATTATTTATAAAATTAAAGCAAATACATTGCCTATTAAGTATGTGTCCAGCTTGAAAAGGCTCACATCTCCGCAGCCCCACCTAGCCACATTAACTTTATTGCATTCTTTTTTGGCTTTCTTTCTTTTTCTTCCTTCTTTATTATGAACAATATCAATGAAATGTTTTTCAGTCAATATATTGAGGCATAGAGTTAAAACAATTTTGTATCCAGCTGAAGTCAAGAATGAAAATGACAAACTATGAAAGATTTTTGTTGCTTTGAAAGTTATACTTGAATGTTGACTCACTCAGACTGAGCTCGACAAGCACAAGCCCGACCCCTGGAATCCCCACTGATACATACATACATATTTTATGCTTTTTTTATTTATATTATATATATATATATATATATATATATATATATATATATATATATATATAGTGGACTCTCCCATTAGTTTTCGACATATGAGGATCTGACAACTTAATTGATTTAGTTATGAAATTTTGTACGATAATTTTAAGTAGCACTTAAAACCCACTAGTGATTTACAAAGGAGGCCGCATATGGAACAAGAGTAAGGATTGTGGGATGAGATCACTGTTAGATTGGCTGAACTTTTAGGACTGGCTCTCACTTCTGGAAGATGATTCAGACAAGCTGATTGAAAACTGCTGAGTCCACTAAAACACATTGATCTCCATTCTACTCACTCCAAGGTTAAGTGCTTAAGGGTGTTATGCGGTATATTGACAGCTGAGAAGTTGCTCTTCAGCTTGTCTTTATATCTTAGCCACGGGTGTCTTACATTCCTGTAGCCTTGATCTAAGTGGCTGTACATTAGGATCTTGGGTATCCTGTCATCAGACATTCTCAAGACATGACCAGTTCATCATAACTGACTGTATGAGAAAAGTCTTGATTCCTCCAATATTACATCTGTTAAACAGGTCTACATTAGATGTCCTATCTTGAAGGTTAACTCCACAAATGGCACGCATATATATAAGATAAGATATATATAAGAGACTATGGAGCTGTGCTCTGGATGATGTTTCAAGCATAGCATCTTGACTGCTGCTTCCCATCACACCAGCAGTGCACAAAATCTAAGTAGGCAGATATGACAGACAGATTGTTACCCATGCAGTAGCCCCCACCCCCTTACCATGTCACTGAAACAGTCCAATGAAAAGACAAATGCTGATACACATGGTTCCAGCGCCATCACAGGAATTGCCAAGATGTTACTGAATACACCCACAAACTGCCTCAGAAGCTTCAACTCCTTATTGTTTAAAAAACAGAATAGAATTTTTTTTAATATATGTTGAAACTACTGCTTTAAGATATAAAAGATAGCATCTAAATATTTTCATCATCTTCATGAATTATATATATTTCCATACAAGTTTGTTTAAAAAGAATTTTTTATTGTAAGTTTCAAATTTTTTAATGTGTTATGGACAAATTTTTTTGATTACAATACACAACACCTGATCAAAAATTGGAAAAAATACAAAAGGAAATTAAACAGACCTTGTCAGTTCCTTTTAATCAAACTTATTTGAATGAATATTTGTTGCCTAGTTTTAAGGTAGGCTATATATTTATGGGTAAAAATGCTCAATATCAGGGATAGAGCATGTGCAAATATAAAAGTGAAGTCAACACCAACAGGTAACAGTTTATTTCATGCTTGAACACAATCATCAGGCATGAAAAAGTCTGTCACTATTCAGTGTTAACCTCTTTCTCTCTTTCTATATATATATATATATATATATATATATATATATATATATATATATATTTTTTTTTTTTCAATAAAGGTGCATTTAATTTACAAATTCATGAATTATTCATACAAAAACAAATACAAAGGTTAATGATTTAATTGGCGAGAAATCCATCGTCGTGAACAATTCAAATAATATACAAAAACCCCAAACCTGTTATGAATGAAAAAATCCTTGTTTTTATAAATTTCTGTTGCATTAGTTCTTATTTTACTACAAGCTTTCGTCTGTTCCTAGACATCTTCAGGTATGGAATAGATGTTGTTCTTGTTTTTACTCTCAGTAATAAGAGGACAACGAAAATATATGGATTTCTCGCCAATTAAATCATTAACCTTTGTATTTGTTTTTGTATGAATAATTCATGAATATATATATATATATATATATATATATATATATAGAGAGAGAGAGAGAGAGAGAGAATTTATACCCTTTTGTTGTATAAAACAAAACTCAAATGAATTATAGAAAGTTAACTTTATTAAAAATAAATAAATAATATTGTATTATAAAAAAACCTAATGTGATCCTGGCATTGATTTCATATAGACACTGCATGTTTGACAAGGAAATTTCTAAGCAGAATTACTGCAATGCTCAATAGACAGACTCAGTGTTAAATTGCACCTGAAGATTCTTTATTAAAATACTTATCAACTGTACTTACCTTGTGCTATTCTGTATTTTACCTCAAGATGAACAGGTGTAGATACAACAGATTTTGTAAGAACTAACACATTTTCCAGGCCAATAATTACCACAAGATAAGGGAAGATTTCACTGAAATTAAACAATATTAAAAAAATACTAAAATTCCAAAAATATTAAACTAGACTATTAAAATAAAAATACAAAAAGCTAAGAAAAAGTTTATGAGTAATTCTATCAAAAATGAATGATTTCTTTAAACCTACTTTTAGAATGTTTGATTTTTATTTTCAATTAAGCTCTAAAGCAGTATTATTCAACCTTTTCTTCCTTGTGGCCCAATTTTGGTGTCAAAAATATTTCAAGCCCACATAATCACAAATAAAAATTCCATGTAACAGGATAAATACAGATAAAGTAATGCTTTCAAAAACTAATTCTATCATATTTTTACTTAATAACTCACATTAAATGCATAAATTGCTCACCTCAAATAAATTAAATGACCATGAAGTCTTTCTAACACAATAAAACAAAAAATATTTCAAATCAATTTGAAAATATAATTTATTATCAGAAAACATTGAAAATTTTATTTAAATAATTTCTGAAGTATTTGACTTTAAAAATAAAGTAAAGCAGTTTGTGTTTTCATAAATTTACACCAGTGGAAAAAAAATGGAATTTCAAAGCCCAACTATTTTCCATGAGTTAAATCCAGGCCCAGTTTAAAAATTTCTTAGGGCCCACTTTGAAAAATCACTGCTTTAAAACAAGTTGAAGCTTATTTATATAAAAATGTTGTTCTCAAGTTGGGATAAATTAAACTGATATGTAAAAAAAATTTAGCACATCTGTTGAAAATGAAAACATAATGACTGTATTTGATAGCATGTAAAAAATTTGATAGCAAAATATATATACTAGATATGTTCAAAGTTTTTTTTACTAGCTACAGTAAACCCATTTGATAACAGGGGACGCAACTCCTCATATACTAAGAAATACACTTGATTAAGCAAAACAACACTAAGAATACAATAAATTTGACAAACAATACTTCAATAGCCTGTTTGAATTTATGAAATGAGGAGTTATCATTATTTATATTCGAACTTATGTCTTCATTTCAATTGTTGTGCTCTTCATCAGTCCTCATGCAACTGTCAATCCGGGTAACCTTCAGGGAATTTCGGATTGGCAGGCAACTGAAGAAAGGGCACAACAAGCAATATATAATGATAATAACAAAGATGAGGATGTTAGTCCAAATATAAATAATTTCAAGTCAATGAACGAAACGTTTTTTTTTCCTTTTTTAACTTTTTTTCTCAGGATTTGATGACGCAAATCTTGATAGTCTTGAAGACTATTTTTTTTTTTTTTTTATATTTTCAAAATACTGTTATTGTTATTTTAAACTTTATTATTTTTTTTATATTTTACACCTTTGAAAAAGGTTTGTAAAGTAGTTTTAGATTAATAAAGTTTTGAACATGTGAATTTTGCTGAATGGTACAACTATGGATACATGAAACAACAATTAACAATTCCATGGATGGTCAGGACAAACCGTATTTTTATCTTTCAAAGAAATGGTTTGGAAAGAAATGCATGCACTTACCCTCTATTCAGTGTAGTAGTTAATCCGAATAAGGTACATATACTGACAGACATCAAAAGAGATGCAATTACAGTTGCAACAGCACTCAATGCAAGACCCCATTTTGATTTCACCATTTCAATTTTTCCTTTTTAAAAAAAAAAAAAAAAAAAGAAGAAGGAAGTAGCAATTATATTTATGTAATTTATTTACTGAAATTCCAAATATTGTTTTGACAATTGAAGCCCTTCTTTCAGCATTTGCTTTTTGTTAAGTCATTTTGGCTGAGCCATTCTTCAGCCCTCTTCAGGTGTTCAAATCCAAAAGGACAAAAGAATAAAATGGCAATAGAAAAGAAGGTAAACATTAATAATAATATAATTTTTTAAATTTCATGCAAACGTGGAAAAGTAAGTGGGGAGATCAGCTATCACCTAAGAGTCAGATTTGAAGAACGTAAGTCTTAGCCAAAGAAAAAATGAAAAATTTTACCATATATGGAGAGAGAAAAGTAAACCCTAGCCTCTCTAAGATAAGATCCAGAGAATTGACAAGGAGTACCAGTGGATAGTAACAAAGTTGAAGATGGTGTGATTTAATTTAGAATTAAAAAAATATTTTTCAAAAATATGGATCAATATTGTGAATTTCTTTCCTCATTCAACAATAATGTTATTAAACTTATCAGATGTTACGAAAAAATTTACATAAAATAAATAGACAACACTTGTCTATATTATTTAATGAAACATGTATGAATGAAAACATGTTGCCTAAATACACATAATTTAGAATTATCTACTTCAGTACTTTGCTAGTCATCTAGTTATGCCTGTGTACTTATGTGCTGCTAGACTGATGTGGTTGTTGCTACATTAGGGACTACCTCTATTTTTGCTACCATTTTTTTTTGCTTTTCCTAGAGAAAAAGAGGTTCATCTTTTTTGTTTTATGGATTGTAGAGCTGATGAGGGCTGAAGAATGGGTTAGCAATATCAAGTAACTTTTTACATGAATTTAATGAAATGAAAGTAACAGTCATAAAATACTCACGGACAGAAAAATACAAATATAACAAAAGAACCAAATATGTAACCATCAAAGGAGTGTATTCAACAAAATAGTTGAAATCTTTGAAGTAAATATGGACCAGATGATCAATTGCAGAATTATTGGCATTCCGTACATTGTTAAGAAACAAAGCTTCTAGCCTATGTCTCAAACTTTGGATGAATCTGAAAGAAAAGAAAATAAATAATATACATTAAGTTTTTTTTTTTTAAATTATCAAGTTATATAATAAAAAAGACAAAGAAAAAAGACAAAGAAAAAATAATGACAGTTTTATAAATAATTTTCTTCTAATTTTCTTTTTTTGTGGGTACATGGAAAAACCTCACCATCTCAGGAATTGTCAACTATGGTTTCACTCATCCTCAATTTGGCCCAAGAAGCAAAATTTATGAAAACAAACTACTTTGCAAGAAAATAAAAAATAAACGTAAGTCTTTACTAGTAACAGTATTTTAAAAATATTCAAAAAAAAAAAATTTTTTAAATTATTTAAATGTCCTCAAAGCCTGAAATTGCTGAGTCATCAGGTGACTACTTTATTGATTAATGTTTCACCCCACTTATATTTGTGGATAGAAGAAATGAACAGAAAACATATTACATCAGAAAGCATATTATAATTACATCAGAAATCATCAAAATTTAATTACATTTTTAAAATAAGGAGTACTACTTAATGTTAACAAGTTCATTCATAAAATATAAGAAAAAATTCGGCAGGGAATAATTTTTTTGTTTAGACTTCATTACATTATTCACATTTGTCAGAATTGAAAAATATTGATTTTTTTTATCATTTTAAAAGGAGGTTCTTTTCATAATATAAATACAGTATCAAATCGATTCCAGACTTCTTCAAATAATAATTTAAACTGCACTAAAGCTTACCTTTTAAATGTTTAACGATAATTCTTCTGACACAACTTAATTTAAAGACACTTTGATGTACATAGGTCCTTACTTTCTGTACTAACAATTATTTTTATTTCATGGGTGACTTTCGCTGAATTTCGCAATTAATTTTGATTACTCTCAAATTTATGTTATGCACATAAAAATGTTACAAAAAAAATCATGTAGAAAAAAAAATAAATAAATAAATCACTGAAAACAATTGCAGTAATGAAAACTTGGGGATCCAAAATTTCAGGATTGTGTGTCCGGTCTGGAATGTTTTTAATTTGATTGTGGAATCGGCCTGATTCCAAAATGGTATAATATTTGGGGCTACAGCCTCCAGGAGTAAAGTTGAAAAAGTGTAACATACTGACATTCGCATTTATTATATAGATGTTAAGTTTGAAACTGTACATATGTTATGAATAACAATGTACCACTGATGATGTCCTTTTTCCCTAATTCATAATAATACAGTCATCAATGACAAAAGGTTGTATTATATATTTTGAAAGGTTCTGCTTAAAACTAGATTCTATGTAGATCTCACAAAGTAAAATAAAATACAGAAGATTAATAGAAACTTGAAAAAGAATAGTTGAATCTTTGTAGATACATCAATAAATCCATACCCCAATACTGAAAAAGTATTTAATTTATAGAAAATATTTCTTTTTCAGTATAATCTTCCTTGTCAATGCACTTAGTTCAGTGGTGAATATAAATCACAAAAAGAAAACATTATACAGTGAAAATATCAGATCAAACATCAGCTAATAACTACATATCAGGATGTGAATTCATTGCTTCTCATTTCTACATTTCTCATGACCAGGATGTTGTCATACAATGTTGTACCATCTGTGACAAGGAGCTGGAAGAAATTCTAGTTACCTCAAGTATCATCAGCCCGAATTGAATGTGACTAAACAATTATTATATTATTTATAAGAATTAAATGTAGCACATTCTGTAAAAATCTACTCACTGAGATGAAAATAGAGAGCTATTTTTAAGTGATTGGTATGTATATCCATTTTTAGAAGGAACATAATTGACAAATGCTTTTTAGGTAAAAAAAAAAAAAAAAAAAAAAAACACAGCAAATCACAATTTGGAAAGAAAAGGTAACATCTTACTTATGATTATATGATTCAGACTTAAAAATGATTGTAACAGCAAATGAAATTATTCTTCGTCGATTTCGAATATAATACTTTTTCAGACCAGTTGCCTTCCAAGGAATTCCAAAAAAAATATCTGTAAGAAAGAAAAGATATACAAAGCCTCAGATAAACCACTATTTTTATGAAATATTAAACTGAGAAGATTGTAAAAATAAATTTACTAAATTTTTTTAATGATATTTATAGCTTAGACTTAGCTTTAATATTTGCAAGAGAAACACAAGAATTATCATATTTGATTAGCATATAAGAAACATCTATTTGAAGCTGCAAATATCCAATAGTCATGGTTAAATACTGCCTTGCAGAAGAGTTATCTCTTTACATGTTACAGACTGATTTTTTGTAATCTATGCCAACAAAGCAATTTTAATTAAAAGCTGTTTTCATCACATTTGTGCAAATTCATTATTATATTTCAATTATAATATTAAATAACCAATATAGTTTTGCCTACTGAATAAAATCTTATTTAATATACAAGTCAAATAAACATCCAAAAGACAGAGAAAAGCAAATTGTAATAGAAGTTCAGTAACCTCTATAAAGTTTCTGTATAAACAACATTTTTCAATATGACATCTATTTTCTAAAGTTCCTTTTAACATTATTGTCCACTTGAATTTCCTACTCTGAATAGAGTCATTAAAATGTGTGCACATTTTCAATAACAAAAAATCACAACTCCCAGTTTTTAAAAATTTACCCAGCGAATTATTCAATTTAAATGAAAATTTCATTAATGAATGAATTTTAAATGGGGTGACAGTAGAACTGTTGTTGACCCCTAACCTTGATGACAGCTTACAGGCTATCATGCATAAACAAACGTTATTTTTACTATGTTTTAAGTAAAAAGTAAGCATTACTTTTCCAAAATCCAATTAATTAATCCTTAAATTTACTACTTTATTTTTATCCTGTTTTCATTTTTCATTTATAATGGAAGACCAGTGTGTGATCATGGCAATGTCTCAAAAATTTCTAAAAACTTTATTGAAATACATTTTTTTTTTTTTTTTTACAGATTAGCTTTAGGTTATTATCTTTCAAATAAAATCAAAATTTAACTTCATCAAATTTAAAATGTTTTTTTTTTTTCTGTTAAGTCCATAGTGGTACCATGGATATAACAACATAGAGCTGACAATAACAAGTTCAACAAAATTTTTTTTTTCTTTTCATTAAGTATAGATTTAAGAAAATCTCATAAAACAGTTATTTTTTACTTATTAAGATAAATTTGGGGGGTTCTACTCAACTAATTTATAGTAATGTGGAATATCAAAATAATAACAATGATTACTGATGTTACTGACCCAAAAATTATAGAATTCTATAAGAATGTTAATATTTTCTTTAAATTACTTTATTCATTCATTTATGTCTGCTAAAAAAATAAAAATAAATGTAAATTTTGGAAGCAAAGATTACATTTATTTTACATTTTCCTTAAATATAAACATTAAATACTTTTTTTTCTGCTAACTTACACATGAATTTTGATAGAATATTGATGAAAATATGTTTTTAAAAATTGTTATGTAAATTAAACATTACTGCTTATGTTGTAAACACCATTTCTTAGTGTGTATATATATATATATATATATATATATATATGTGGCCTGACAATTGCATTTAAGCATGAAACAAACTGTCGCTGCTGAGCATTGACCTCAATGTCCCCTTTTATATTAACATATGTTCTATCCCTGATATTGAGCACTCATAAATATAGCATACATTAAAACTATATTTTTATTATATATATATATATATATATATATATATATATATTTGTTCTAGTGATGTAAGGTGGGAACACAGAGACAAAATTTAGTGTTATGTGAATTTATAAAAAATTATTAAATAAAGCAAGCATTGATATCTTCTAAAATATCAATGAAATTTTTGGAAAGCTAAATTAAACGGGAAAATATTTACCTAAAACATTTGGTGGAGTGTCCAAAGTCTGCCCAAATTTTTGAGTTATAGTTTTCATTAATTCAGCATCATCTCGGAAACTATAAGAGGGGAAAAAAAAAAATAAACATATATTTTTATATTTCAGTGAAATCCGTTAAGGAGTAAAAACCTTAAATTAAAAATTAATATTTTAACATATCTTGAAATACAAATAAACATTTCTAATAGTTGATAAATTGAATGCTAAAATAGACTTTAAATACATCAATTGATTCAAAATATTACTTTCTCGTTTTCATTTTTTTTACTGATTACAAGATATACTTCCAAAAATCAGATTTTATTGTTAAAGTGCTTAACTTTTGTTGCAATAATGAATAATGAAATTCTTAGAGATATAATTTTTTGAATGACATTGAAAAACATTAGATTTGTACTGGGTTTACTTCAAGAATTTAAACAAGTAAAATCAGTTAGATTCCTGCTGTATGTTAAGATTCATTGTTTCAATAACAATTTTCACAAAAGGTACATTTAAACAAACAATTTCATCTGAAACATTTTTTTGTGCAAAATAGATTCACAAACCAACTAAAATTTGAATTTGCATTATTCACATTTCCAGATCAATAGAAATAATTGTAGCCAATGAATAACTTTTCATTTGTTGATCTGTCAATTTTGTTTAGCGGCATATCAACCTCTGTGTGTTATTTAATGCCGAAATTTAAATATCTTTTAAATGATTTTATACTTTTAGAGTAAAAGGGTGGTTTTTTTAAATATATAGTTTGTAGATCATAAAGTGTATTACTGGTCATTTTACTACAAAACTATATTGCTTGTCATTTTACAATAAAAATGTACTGTTTATTTTAGTTTGGGGGTTCACTATTTGCCCATAGCTGGGACCCCAATAGGTACTATCACCAAGGGTCAGGGTGGACCTGGAAACAACAGCAATTAAGATGTGGTTCCACACTCCTCAAAACCTCTAATCTCTTGATCAGAGGCCTTGCTGCCGGATGTAGTTTATCGTCATACCCAGATTTGAAAATAATGGTCACCAAGTTGAAAATAAAAGAAAACCAAAAAGCTTTCCAACTATTTTTTTTAAATCAATTCACCCCAAGCAAGGCACTAATACCACTAAGACACACAGGGCTACTGAGAGTGAAAAAGAATGAAAAAATTTCAAAAGAAACCAGAAACCCAATTCTAAACTTGGAATCAATAGTTTCCTGCTAATAAAAAATTTGCATAACAAATGCAATAATATTTTTCATCTAATTAGAAACCTAATTAAGAAATTATTCTGAATCAATTTTACTGCTTTTTTGAACTAGCCGTAATCAGTTTAAATCGTGGTATGCATTATTTTCTCAACTTTTGGATCTTTTACTGTTTCAAAAGCAGTGCCATGACGATAATAGACATTTTTGTTAGAAACTTTTTAAGTTGACAGAGAGCAAATTATCAAAAAATAAACATTTTGTACGCTTACAATCAATTTTGAAAATGATTGGCCACATTTTGTTTAAAAAATCATATGGGCCATTCTATCTTCTGCTTCACATATAATGTATGGGCACTTCCATATTGTGTAATGGTTAGCAAGCTTGTCTTGCTAGATCCATTATGAATAGTCAGTTTGATCCTCACTGGGTGTTCCGTACTTTCAGCCTTGTGCTACGTCTAACCTATACATAAAAAATCACCATGTAATATTTAGCAAATCTTTTGACACAGAAAGACTAAATACTGGTCACATTTTTTTTTTAGGAATGGACATTCCACATTTACAATGAATATACACAGATCTTTTAAAATTAAAATTCTAGGTCTTACCTATGGAGTTCATCAAAAATAAATTTATTGATTTGTTAGCACAGACTTTATCTTCTCTCAAGTTTGGTCTCTAAATATATTAAGCTTGCAAACAATTTTTTTGGCACACTTTCAAAACACACATATTAAAATATTAATTCTGTTGGGTTAACCGACTTACCTACTGCTATCCACATTCCACAAATTGGCTGGAGAAAGGACCAAGCATGTGAAGGATGGTAGGCAGTCTTGGAGGGATTTGTCAAGAGGTTCAGATATATGAAGACAGAAATCAGGTAGACTATATTCAACATTCCTAAATAAGAGAAATATTATTCAAAAGAGGTTGTTTTTTAATATCATCAAAAACATCTTTATCACATAAAATGTAAATCTAACATTCTTTTATTAATTGTCTGTTACAGTGGAACAACCTATAAAAAATATATCCGAAAACAGGATGCTACTGTATATATATGCTGGTTTGAAAATAGCACTAATAGTTAGTTAATAGCATTAATATTAGGGACTGACATTTTAGTGTCTTATAAAATGTTTACTGCAGGCAATGTAAAGATGTATAAGTACGTCTACCAGAGTAGAAATGTTCAATTTTGACAGAGGTATTTAGTATCATGTTAATTTTTCATTGTTTCTTTATAACTTTACTTAAGCCATCAATTCTATAGTAGTGGATGAACAGTGGGAATTGGAAATAATAAACTATTGATAAGATCCAAACTCCATTCCTTCTTGCCCCAAGGAAACCTTGTTGAACACATGCACTGCTTTAAACATTAAGCTACAAGAACTTGATAACTTTACAGAAGACCAAATCTAACCTATAACTTATCACTCCATTCCATGACATCTCTCAGTGATATATTTGTTTTTACACAAATAGTATTAGGAACAGCAGTAGTATTTTTACCATTTCTTAGTAGATGAAGCACTGTCAACTATTATTATTAATTTATAATTAATTTAAAAAAAAAAAAAAAAACTAAAATGAAAGTAAATATTAGTTAAAAATTAATAAAAATGGTTTCATCAAATAAATGAAAAAGTAAAAATAATATTGCTAATATTCTTTTCTATTTTGTTTTTATGATTACATAAAATGGTGGGTAGCAGTTTGTATAACTGATTAAAAAAAGGGAGCCCTGTTAAACACATAAAAAAAAACAAAAAAAAAACAGTCATTTGAGGGGTTTGTTTTCATTCAGTCAGATGAATCATAAGATATTGCTTTAAAATGCATGACATTTATTTAACAACTAATTTAATTATATTTCATTTAAATAACAAAGAGGTGAAAATTCAAGGAATGATTATATAATTACCTATATACTTGCGGATAGGTCACCCCAATAGTCGCACCCCTACTTTATGGCTTAATAATTGATGATTTACTGTTGACTCACAGATAGGTTGCACTATAATCTGGGGAGTTACACAGCCCTTTTTAAACATAAGAATTATCAGATATCTACCTTTATTTCAAAACTTACAATTATTAATACACTTTTGCAGTTAAAATACATTTTGTCAATCATCATGTAAACTAGTAAACAAAAGGAAGTAACTGTTCTACTGGTATTTTTATATTTACCACATATTATTTTTATATCGAATCAACTTGACATAAAAAAAAAAAGAAAAAATAACTACAGAAGAAAATATTATGGTACATTTAGAAAAAAGTGTTTATGTATTTATATATCAAGTTAGAGTTTTAAAATTCATTCAGAACTGAATCCCAAGAATTCAGTACTATCATCGCTGTCAAACATCATTCTTATTTGTTCATCAGTTCATAGGTTTTCATCATTGTCCATTTCATTTATATATATATATATATATATTGCAGAATGAATCATGGGACTATTTTTTCTTTGTCAATAAAGATCTATACATGATTGTTTAACTTATGTATGTATGTATGTTCAGGGTTTCTATATCATTCTAGTGCGAGGGCTCAAATGGAATGGTGACTGATGGTTCAATGACTATTTTATAATTTTATTTATTTATTGTGATGGATATGAGGTAATTTTAAAGCAGTGAGTCAGTATATATGAAAATTGTTTCTATACAGAGAAAAACCACAGTTTTAGTGTTTATGGGTATCATTTCCGATTTCTCAGAAATCATGATGACAAGGTGGGTGTTGTTTTACATTTATGTCAAGCAGATAGGTCATATCCCTAATATTTTGCAGAATTTTTGGTAAAAAAATTCAACCTATCTGCAAAGATACTTGGTACAAAAGATACTTGAACCAAATACAAAGTATTAATAACGACAACACTAGAGATTCCGACACGTTTTCTAAAATCCTTCATTTTAATGTTCTTTTATTGACATGTTAAATTATTTCTCCACTAAATTGGCCAACAGACTGCTTTCTCTTGACACATATAGGAACAGCAAAGACAAATAAAATCCACTTACTTGAAGTGTGAGTTGTAAAATGAAATATTTACAAAACATTAAAATTCTGTTTGAATAATCTGAAATTTGGATAGCCACTGTTCTAATAACTGACATAGCATTGCATATTAAGCTTCTCAAAAATTGACAGGGATACTCCATTATAACCCACAGTCAAGTGGTATACTTTGGCATGGTATGCTTGATGGCATGCTCTTTTTAAATCAATTTTCATGAAGCATTTCATTCCTGCTAACAAATATAATATATTTTCAGTGTTTGGGATAAGATAAGAATCCAAACAAATCTGAGGGTTTAGACCTACTTTATAGTCACTGCAGATTCTAAGATCACCATTTAGCTTTCTCATGTGATATCCATTTACTTCCACCAGGGCAAACATGTTCCAAAATACCTTGTTCAACCATTTTATGTACAAGGGGGTAATAAGTGAATTGGAACCCTGTGGGTTACAATTTTCTTTCAATTTAATACTTGCTTTATAATCTTTTAACATTCATTTTTCAGGATTATCTGAATTCATGTAATGGATTAGACATGTGCTATTAACCTTAAGCATATCTCTTCCTATTAAGCCATGGCTTTTATTACAGTCCACAACTACAATAGTAACAATTTTGATCCTGATGTTCATTTCAAATGTTCCTTCAAAGGATCCTAATATCTAAATTGCCTTAAATATTAAATGACTTTTATATAGTTTTGTTTACCCATTTGTTACCAAAAGTTCTTCAGAATTAGCTGATATCAATTTTCATTTTTAAATTTACCTTATTCGATTTCCATTACGGTATTTTCTTCCTTATTTTTCTGTATTGAGAAAACATCAGTTTCACTCTTTAAAGTGTATTCCATTTTTTCAACACTCTTTATATTTTTCATTTACACACCATTTAAAAATGTTTTTTCTTTTTACATATCTGTCACCATACCAGACATTTTCCACCATTTACTTCATGTTGATAGTTACAATATTTGCATTTTACTGTTTTCTAATTTATGTACATGTCCATAATTTCCAGTTGTTTTTTTTTTTTTCTTATTGAATTTTTCAATCAACTCTTCCTGTTGTATAAATTTGATATATGCCTTTGGTTTAATTGCAACCGTTCTAACATTTTAAATCTGTGCAAAGTACTGCACATAGCTTCTAAGTTGAATTAATTCCTCTTCAATAGACATTTCTTCTTGTCCTAAACACTGAAATTCACAGTTTCTGCTGGTGTCTCATAGACAATGCAGAAATTTCATAATGGGTTCCTCACATTCTTGTTCTAATAACAAAAACTTGATTTGTTCGGGAATGGTCACTTTTTCTTTGGTCAAATGTCAATTCTTTCACTTCTGTTGAATAAGTCATCAACAAAATCTTCCTAGCAGCTTCACAACCGGCTGTTAAATAAACCTTGGATTTTGTTTTCACTTCCATTTTGTTGTTCCATTGTTCCCTTGTTTAAACACGGGTCACAAAGCACTCTATTCAAGTTTCAACAAAATTTGGGTCTTCAAAATGCAACAAAGATCCTATCAGCAATGTCATATTGTTATGATATTTCAAATAGGGATTGCAGTTGTATGTAGTCAGTATTGGTTCAAGTACTATTGTCACTGACTCATGTAGCAAGCTTATACATGACATCTACTCCTACACATATGCTAATTAGTGGTAGCACTAACCAACCACTACTACAAATAACAATAATAAATTTCAACAATAGGACTATAAGCATCTTGCAGTTATACAAGGCTGAATGTTATAAGTCATAATGGAGCATGAAAAAAGTAAAAAAAGCTTTATTCTGTTTCAAAAGAAGCCCATAAATATGCAAAAGAATTCAGATTAAATCTTTAAAGTAACGCTGAAGTAGACAACTACCACAAAATCAACAAGAAAACTGAAACAAGAAGCAAAAAAGCTTGACCAAAAATAAATAGAAGAAAGTTAAACACAATAGACTCTATATAGAAGCAAAAATGCTGAAATCAATTTGCAACCCAACAGTGGCTAAAAAGTTGAAGATTTAAGGGTGAGACTGAAGGGTTTATTCTTGCTGCACAGGTCCAGAACCTGCTTACATATGCAACTACCAAGCTAATATCTTGCATAATAGTTCAAACACAAAATTTAGGTTCTGCAACATATATTAAAACTATTAATCACTTTATCTCAGGATGCTCCATACTCACACCCAATGAGTAAAAACTCATCCTGTCAGGATAGGTCAATATCTGCATTGGAAGATTTGTCATCACTATGGGATTAAAAACAGCTGCAAACTGGTATGAACAGCATCCTGAATCTGTGGTTTCAGGAGCAGATATTACCATCCTCTGGGGTTTTTCTATCAATAGAGATCGAACAATACCAGCAAATCACCTAAACATTTATTATCAAAGACAAAAAAGAAAAAGTTATCACACTGATCAACATGAGTGTACTAAGTGACAAAAAACATCTCTGCAAAAGTTTTTGAAAAACCAAGCAAATACAAAAGTCTGGAAATGGAAATAGAAAAAAAAATGTGGCACTTAAGAACTAAAAGCTGTTCCTGATTGTGGTTGGAGCTTTGGAAAGAAAGGAACTCAAGAATAAATCAACAAAACCTCTGATGCACCATCTGTCCAGGAAATAAAAAAAAAAATATTTCTAACAAGTATAATCCATATCCTGCAAATCACTTTGTCCATTTAAAGTTTTTTTTTTGTTAATAGCTATCTTTTGTTTAATCAAATAGAAACAAAAAAAATTACATCCTTCACTTACTCTTGGTCATTGGTTATAACTTAGTATGCGATTATAAAACAAATGCAAGTCAAAAAGAAATTTTTTTTATATAATAATAATAATAATAAACAAGAAAATTGATGCATGTTACTGTACTATAATTTAAAAACTGCTTAAATGTAAATTACATTATTTGAATGTTTCTCAAAATTCATGCATCCAAGCACTGAATGAATAAATTATTTCATTTTCATTGAGTTTCTTTTTTATTTTTATTTCCAAATGTAACAATTATTTTGGGATAAAATTCATCCATTTTCTGAAGGTTTATTAAAAGAAAGAAAGGTGAAGTTCAACTAACCTGTATGTAAACTTGAAAGAATTCAACTCATCCATGATTTCAAACACTTTAGCAAGTGGAGCACGAAATGCATCCATTGCAATCATTTGATCAGGATTCCATGGAGATACAGTTCCCTTAAAAACTATTTGCTGAACAAAGCCAATTGGAATGCCAGAATACTAAAAATAAAAATTTTAATTTATGTAACACAAGCAACAGTCAAAATGGTTAATAAAAGGTCAACAAACTACAAAGAAAGAGAAACTAATTTACAAAGAAATAGCATAACTAATTCTCATTTCAAATTTTTCAGTCGATATTGTAAAGAAATAGAAGAAAAGAACCTTTACAAGGTGCAATTATGGCTTTGATAAAATCTCTTTAGTTATTTTAATTTTTGTTTGGTTCAATAAGTCCCAAGAAACCATCAGTTAATAACTTCAGATGTTTGATATGTAGAAATATTTTTGCATCATTTTCATTCTGTCCCTTAATTAAAAAAAAAAAAAAATGAAGAAGAAACAATTTCCAAAAGTCTCATGAACATATTCATATAAAAATAATTTTAAAAGCATTTTTAAAAATAATAACCATTTGAAGAGATGAAAAAGGCGATACATTACCATTTGGTTGCTTTTAAAGAACTTTACTCATAACTTTTGTTGGATTCTCACAATGCAAACAAAAAATAAAAGTAGAAAAATTACAACACCATTTCTTCCCCATTCCATGATACCACATATGTAACTTTGAACTTCTTGGTTTCTTAGTGCATGCCTGAATGTTTACAATGTCGTCTACTTTGCAAAACCTATTTACTTCTTGCTCTGAAGTCACAACAACAAAGTCATTGCCAATAAAGTTTGTGTTACACTTTTCCTTTAAATTTTACCTTAAATTCTTGTAATGCTCCAGCTTTGCATTCCCAAAACCTTTAAGCTGTATGACACACCATATCCTCCATTTTGGTCTGGATTTTGTCAACACTTCCCAAGATTTTGTATCAATGCCACATCATTGTTTCAAGTTGTCCTTCAACTTCTTCAATCTGTTGTTAACTGGGGCAAAAATGGCTTGTTAATCTTAACACCTCCAAAATGAAACTTCTCTCTTTTAATCATCTTAGAGAACTTTTTTTGAATTCCAGCAGCATGACTGATGCTTGTAGAATTACCCCTCTTACTTCCCTAAAAAACACTGCTAGGGGACACTCCCTAAGCCTAAAAATAGACAGTGACATTGTGTCCTCTCTCGCTATCATTCTCAGTAACCCCTTGTGTCATAGTTGTTTTATAAACATCACTTAGGGTGAACTGATTAAGGAAAAAAATCTTATAGCATAGAAAGGTATGGCCTACAGAATGCAATGAATTTGGAATCTGACCAAAAAAAGAAGACAAGGATCTGTTTCAGAAACCTACTCTTCTTTCCCTAATTATGTGACTAGACTACCTGAGATCTATTTTAATTAGAAAGGTTTCAGTTCCTGTGATAACATATTTTGACAGAATCTCACAATTTTTTTTTACTTTTTTTTCCCCATTTCAAGCCACAGATTTGGCATAAACAACAAATGTTGAAAGAATTGTTGGATGTATGGTATAAAGTCCAGGATTGTCCCATACAGAAGCATTGTCAAGACAACTTATATACATCAATTTTAACCTTTAATGGCACATCACACATTTTCCAAAATCTACTGGCCTTTCCTGTTCTTGATGCAATTTCCTTGTCCATTTTTTCATCAGAAGTGATAACTGACTCTAAATAAGTGAATGAGGTTATAATTTTTAATACCTTACTTTGGAATTTGTAACAGGAGGACTATCACATTTTGGTTAATGATGTAGTTCCATTTTAAACAGTAGTACTCTAGGAACTTGAAATATATTTTAATATCAACCATATCTTTCAGAACAAAATTTCATGAAAGAATGGGAGTAGAGATGACTGTCATATATTTCTGTGTATATAAAAGAAAAATAGACTAAACTTTCAAACAGAACAAAACAACTATAAGCTTCCTGTATCAAACAAGGCTCTAATACTTTTAAAATGAACAAACAGATCATGTAAATATGCCCTATTCTCACTGAGTGGCCTAGCATCACAAGTATATACAAAATTTGATCTCAACAATATCTTTATGAAATTGAGTTTTCAAAATTTGACTGACAAAGCATTCTTATAATGTTATTTGATTAATTTGTTAATAAGTTCCAAGAGTCAATCAAAACTTTGCTTATTAGATCAGTCATGGTGTAATGATTAGTAAGCTGTTCTTATAAGCTATTGTATGACAGTTATATCCTCAATTTGTCTTTCACAATTGCTACTTTATACCTCAATTGGCTGTAATATCTATAACAATAACCAATAATATGTTTTATAAATAAAATACTTACCCATCTTGGTGGTGCTTTTTGATCTGTACTAGTTTTTTCAAAACCTTTTCCAAGAGAGATCATTTGCCTCTGTTCCAGGAAAGTCTGAACTGGAGTGGCATATTCCAGTGGAGCATTTCCAGGAAGAGGCACTTTGGTCAAAGGATAGCTGAAAAAGCAAAACAATCTTTTATTCATTTTTGCTTTCTATTTAACAAAAATCAACACACAAGCACACACATTTTCAATAAGGAGACAGTTTTAAAAACATTTCTTTTTACTATATTAAACATTAGTGAAAACATAGTGAAAGTTTATATTTTGACAGAAACAAAAATAAGATTATCACAGTATATATTTTTGCAGCATGTTAAAAATGTCATTTAAATTAAAATGAAAATCATATTTAAAAAAAATTAAAATTCTTCATTTATACAACAATGATTAATATTTAAAATTTCATAAAAGCCTTTTTAAAAAAAAATTGATAATGTTCTTAGCACTTTTCAAACATTAAAAACAAAAACATATATATATCAAATAACTATACAGTAATCCCCTACTGATTTGCAGGGTATATGTTCCAAGTCCCCCACCTTCACCAAATACAATGTTTAACAAATGTACCCACAAAAGAACAGTGTGTAAAAAGGAAAGTTTTTCTCTTAAAACTATTATTACTATATACTCTCTTGGTAACTTTTGTTTTTAAAAGCTATTTTTATAATTTTAATAAAACCCAAACATTTGAAACTGGATTTATACATTCTCTTTTCTCTTGAAAATTGACAACAATTGTATTAACTGCAAGGTGATAAGATTGCCTTAATTAAATACTATCCTTGTCAATAAATGTCTAACATTTTTGTTATCACTTAAGAGAAAAAAGCATAAATCCAGATACTCACAACTTATTTTAGTGAATTTATGTGGCAAGAGCAAATGAAAGAATTATGTGGAAAATAATAATTAGTTACTCATAGTTATGTGTTTATTTAAATTTTAGAAATTTATAAATCAAAAAATATTTTTCATAGTTATTTCTTTAGATGGTAAATAATAAATTTTAAATTGTAATTGGTTCATATATTTTTATAAACTTATAAAATTATTCTTGTAAATGAACAATCTAATAAAATATGGTTTAATTCTTTTCTTGTCAATTCTTAAGAAAAAAAAAAAGAAAATGCTTAAATCTAGTTTCATATGTTTGGGTTTTATTGGAATTCTAAAAATAACTTTTTAAAAACAATAAAATTTGCTGAGAAAGCATAAATTAATAACAGTTCCTAGAGAAAAAAAATGTCCTTTTGACAACATTTTTTTGTAGGTACATATGTTAAACTTTGCCTATCTATATTTGAATAAGGTATATTTAGGCAGCAAGTATTCATCCAAACAAATTCAATTAAAAAGAACTGACAAGGTCTATCAGTTTAATTTTTTTTTTATTGTATTTTTCAAATTTGTAGATTTTATTGTATTTTTCCAATTTGTAGATTTTATTGTATTTTTCCAATTTGTAGATTTTATTGTATTTTTCCAATTTGTAGATAAACTGTTCAAAGTTCAGACAGTATATTTAGAACTTAAAGCCACATACTCAACACATTATTCAAAAACTGAAGAAAAATATTACAAAATTAAACAGACAGAACATGTTGGTTTTGTTTAATAAAACTTGTTTAACTGTATATATATTATGTACTTTTAAATATACAACTTTTTTCAACAGTGCTTAATATAAAAAATCAGCTATAAACTGATGCTTAAAATTACCTTCAAAAACGTTCAAAATTTCAGTCTTCACAAGTTCTGTCATTACGCATTTGAGAATTTATTTATTTTGTGAAACTGACTGTAATGTTTTTTGTTTTTTTAGGCTTTTAAAGGTAATTTTTAAGCATCAGACTACATATGTATGTTTTTTTCCTACACATACATAACTGCAATAAAGTTTAATTAATAAAATTAAATAAAAACACTGAATAATAATAAAAAGGACATCTAAAACAATAAATTATAAAAGTTATGTGATAGAAGATTTGTTTTTAGCAAACAGCATACAATTTCTTTTTCTTTCCTTAGTCAAGATCTTTTACCTTTTCTTAAAGGAAACACTTTTTACAGCTTCATTTTGTCAGATCAAAATTGCTAGCATTGAGTACTCATTTTTTTTTTTGGGGGGTAATTATTATGTAAAACTTAACTGTTTATCTCGGGGCTAACCATGAATAACAGAAACTGCAGATATGTTATGGGGAGAGGTTGCTATACACTCCAAAATCATTGAACATTAAATAACATCACATTGCTGTTATAAACAAGTGTTTATCTATCTATCTCTCTCTCTCTCTATATATATATATATATATATATATAGTGAGAGAGAGGTTGATAGAGATAACAATGTCATATTGAATACCCCCCATCCACTTACCAGTTCTGTTTGTTTGCTATAGGTATCTGCATGAATTCTGCTGTTAATGGTGTTTCATTTCTAAAAGTCTAAAATAACTGGCAAAAGTCAATGGTACTATTTGGAATTTCTAAAAGAGGAGATTGTTTCTCCAAGTTTCATAGAATAATTTTTAATATATATAATGAAAAAGAAAGATGGAATTTTTCATAGTCTCCAATCAAAAGTTTAGCATAAATCACAAAAAATAAGTAAATGAATAAATCAGTAAGTATTTACTTACCATGCTATTATCACAATGCAGATAACTGAGCATATAATAGAGTAAGAATGGCTAGCACAAAATAATCCATAGGTGTAGTAAATTTGGGCAATACGATCTTGGATAGACATCTTCATCTACAAGATCCATTCCGTATGCAATGTTCCAACAAACAGAATGACAAACTAGTCACAAATCATAAAATTTCCATAATCTCTGGTCACATAATAGTCATGGCCATACAGACACAGACATATCTTTCTCTTCACATAGCTGAAAAGAGAAACAGTGTGAATACAAATCAGTCAGAGAGACAAAATTTGAGAAAAATCAATAATTAGAATTAGATAGAAAAATCTTTAACTCCAACTTAGCTGTACACTGCCAGACATTTATAAATTATTTTTTACTATCTCTGTCACATAATAACTTAAATTTGCATAAAAATTTCATCTATTAAATATAACTATTATCAGACAGTGGTTGTATTAGTTTGTCTTTTTTGTTGTTCAAATTTCTAAGTCTTTATTTGTAACAAGGGAATTAATGTTTTTTTACAAAATGAACAAAAATTTTATTTACAATAGTGATAAATGTATAGATATTGTACAAAAGAAAGAAAAAAAAAAACTCATAAAAAATGCAGAAAAAGTCAGAAACATCAGACAGAGCAAGAAAAAAACAGTGTCTATCAAAGTAAACTAAAGGAAGGAGAAAAATATAAAAATCACAGATTTTGGACATTTAATATTAAATAACTGCTTAAATTTTAGGAATTTTCATTATGAATATTTAAAAAAAAAAAAAGGGGCACAAATTCCTATAAATCTTTATTTACTAAGATTATTTAATATTTAAAATATAAGAATAATAATAATATTAAATATATTTAAAAACAATAACAAAAGTTTAATAATTATTTAAAAAGAAATTTTTTAAAAAATGATTCACAAACACTGGTACAATTATTTGTATCATAAATACAATATACTGTTAATATAAAAAAATGTTAGTATATTTTAATTAAAAACTTAACATTAAATTGATTTTATAAATATAATGACAAAGTGAATTTAAAAGCATTTTTAAAACCACTTTCTTAAATATGCTCTGATCAAAAGTTTGGTAGTAATAAAACAGAAAATAGCAGAATCAAATGTCAACCACCAAAATATAGCAAATAAAATAAAAATAGAATGATGAAAATGCAATTTAAGTATTCATTAAAACAATAAAAATACAATAAATTTAAGTCAGTAGTTGATTGCACATAATCCTGCCACTCCATTTACATTTACAGTATTATAGAGTTAGCCTGAGACCAACTATTGGTAATTTATAATGTTTGAGTAGCTTACTAGACATCTCAATTTCACATAAGACTTAGGAGATATATCTTTTAGCCTTTTTTATTAAAAACAAAGCCATTAAATACATTAATTAACACAAACAAAATTTAAAAAATATACTTAAAATTTTCAAGTTATTTGTGGACTAAATATTCTTATATAAAATTAAAAATGTGTTTTCCTTTTGCATTCATAGTAAACTAAGTAAAAATAAATAAACTTAGCTTTTTGCTATTTTACCAGGGTAAGCCATGCACTAACAAGTTTTAAATGGGATGGTATGAACAGAAACTCATTAATACAGTTTTCTAAAATTTTTAAACTTTAATTTTCTCTTGTGATTTGAATTTTGTCAAGTAGCAGTATAGATGAATTTTAATCTCTTGTATTGAAAAATAAAGCCAGATTTTTGAAAAAATTAATTGAAAAATTTTTAAATATTTTTTTTTTTAATAAATGATCTCAAAATGACCACTAGTGAATTTAACTATATTTATTCCTCTTAATGAACTAGTCAAAATAGTCTTTCTTTTCTCTGCTAGCAATTTAAGGTCACTCAGCCAACAGCAAGGAAACATTTGACACTTAATAAAGATACAGGATACTTAGTAATTACCCTAAAGGTCACTAAATACCAGATACTGATGCAGACAAGAGTAGCTTCAGGCGCATACACACACACACAAACTGACAACTACAATTTGTATTTTCTATTGAGTGGCTTACTACATAAAAAAAAAAATAATAAATGAATTTTTTTTAACTTAAAAAATAAAAATGGTGACTCTAATAAAATCCATTTCAAGCAAAGGTTTTACATTTTTGTCAATATTAAATATATAACTCTTGTCTGATATTTCAGTTGTAAGAATCACTCAACAAAAAGCTCTGGAATATAATATTTTATCTTAGTTACACTGCATATGAAAATCATAACACCAAATATCTACTCATTCACTTAAGAATAAAGCATACATAGATATACTATTTTTGTATTAAATTATAAATGTTTTTCATAACAAATCCTCTATAAAAAAAAAAAATAACATTCTATATTCAGTCAATTACAACATAAAAAAATATTCCCATTTTTTTAAAATTATTCTCCATCAAATAAAACAGAAATTGTAAAAGAAACTAATTTCTTTATTCTAGGTGAGTCAAAAAATAAAAAAAACCTCTTACTGAACACAAAGTATCAGTGTTTGTATTTCAAAATCAGAAATTACTATTCACACACAGTATGAAATCTTATATGCATAACAAAAAATGACAAATAAAAATCTATAACACATATTTCTACTGTAAAATTTACAAGTTCATTCACAAGGTTCTAAACAGAAATAAAAACCCTATAAGAAAAAAAAAAATATATAAATAAAAATATGAAAACCTTACAAAAGAAAAAAAGTCTCCACAATACTTTAACCAAGCATTTTCTATAGTAGCCTAATAGTAAATTAAAGTAAATATACCATAAATTTAAATGTAATGTCAATCATGTAATGTCTTCTTGATTACTCTTCTATTGTTCTCACTCCTCAATGTTTCTCTTTTTTCTTATTCTTTCCTACTGTCTTAGTGGCTTCACTGCCTTGCATGGGGTGATATGATTTTAAAAAATCTATCATATAACTGCAATGAGGACTAACCCCAAAATAATTGCAATTACTTTCTAAAAAGGGTTTCAGTCTGTAAGTGAAATTACAAAGCAGGTGATAAAATAATATTATAAGATTATTATCTTGCTAATATATCATATTAATAATTCTTTTTTTGTGTGTGAGACAACAGACTGGGAAGAGTTCAAAAGGTCAGCTATCTTGAGCTTAAAGAAATCAGGATTAATAGTGACCAGCTTGCACATTATAAACTAGAACAACAATGGTTTGACTACCATACATAATCCAGCTACTACTCATCAAGTTTGATTTTTTTATATATATATATATATATATATATATATATATATATATATATATACACACACACTGAAGGCCTTAGGCAAACATTGAGAACAACACAATGAATTTGTGTTGTATACAGATTAGATGGAGAAAGCCACTAGAGATCAAAAACTCATGAGTAAATTGCTAGGATTAATACACAAGCTAATCCTTTATCTCAGTTGCAAAGAAGATGCAAAACTCATGTCCAGTAAGGTTTGAGGGGCTTAAAGTAGAAAATAAAGATTTCTCTCAGTTAAACAAAAAATAAAATATAAACTGTTAACCTGTTCAAAAAATAAATTCACAGCATAAGATAAACAAAAATAATTTTAATAATTTAATTTTTTCAGTCAATTCACTTTCCACAAAAATTATGATGTTTGGTCATATTTTGGGAAGACTTCTTGGTTAGGTTAAGAACTTTTCAGCACTCTTTGCATGTGGGTGTGTTTATTGATATTCATCTTATATTCAACAACAAACACTCAATAAAATTCTGAGTCAAGAGCTGACAACTGTCTTCATCAAATGACCTTGAAGGCCTGCATTAAAAATCCCATATAATGTCATCCAACAAAAGGCTGTTGTCATCTTTTGTTTAATTAACAATAAGCAGCTGCTTCAACATCACACATCCAAATTCCCACAGGCATAATAGACATTATTAACACTTCATATATCCAGAAACCAATAATATAAAAAAAACAAAAACAATGAGAAAGAAATCAATCAATTAAAATTAGAAAAAAAAATATGCTATAGTTCACTCCAACATTTGGTTAATTGGTATAGCAGAAAAATATAATACAGTGTCTGTAAGTTCCAGGTTAGTGATGTTCAATCCAACACAATTTCAAATGATAGCAAAATTGTTTTCCACTGTAAACCTTTTGAACATGTGCTGAAATGTTCTTTGCCCTTAAAAAGAAAAAATTCTGATGTTATGTCAGATTTCAGGAAATAGGTTAGTCCAGGAAGGGGTTTTTTTTTGTTTTTTTTTTTACACTCTTGTACCAGTAAAATCTACAATAAGTAACTAATATGAATGCACTTTATATATATATATATGCTTAAGTGCTTTATATATAATGGGTAACAAGCTAATGTTAATTAGTGGTAAGTTCAATCCTCATTGGGTACACTATGCATCTCATCAAGTTCAGTAAATAATTATATACATAACGCTTACTCATGTAAAAAGTTCTTTTTTCTCATATTTTAATATTTCACAAGGAAAAAGTAAAGTTCTTCATGGATCATTTCCTCCCTTTAATATATACTTTTCTAATAATGTTTTTAATTAACTGTTGGGAATAAGCTATTTTCTAATATCAACTCTTTCTAACTCTTTATGTAAAAATCAAACTTAAAAGTCTGAAATGTTAAGTTTTCATATTTTTTTTTTAAACTTAACAGTTTTTAAATATAAAATTTTTATCTACTTCAGTCTAATTTTTTTGTGTTCTGATAAATTAAATTCATAAAAGGTAATTAAAAGGTAAAATCTTAAATGCAATTTGAAAATATTTCTCTATATTTTTTTCAAACAAAAAATAAAAATAAGATATAAACAGAAATCTTTTTAATATATAAAAGTCACAAAAGCAAATCACTCCAATCAAATATGGAGATAAATAAAAATAAAAACTGTAAAAATTTATACTGAAAATGAAATAAAATCTTAAAGATTCTGTTTTATAAGAATCTGATTGTGATTGTAATGATTTGGCCACATCACACAACATAACAGCCTCTGCAAGACCATCATGCAAGGTACTGTTGAAGATAGATGCAAGCAGGGATGGCATTGCAAGAGCAGACAACATCAAAGAGTAGATGAACATGACAATTCCAGAATTCTTGAGAGTTACTGCCAACAGATCATCCTGGAGGAGGATGTTTCTTCTGCCCTTAGGTCATGAGGGGACTGGCGATTGAGCAGTTGAGGGACTGATGATGATGATTCAAATTTTTT